TTCAGATAAGTCGCTGAAGTCGCGCTCGACCTCAACGTAGTTTTGATTAGGACCATCTGCCACTAGGAGATAGTGGTGATGCTGGATGAATTGAAGTTTGTGTGCGACAATGACGGAATTACAGGCCTGTCGGTATTTTAAGGAAGCCGAATAAGAGCGACCTAAATAGTGTCAGCTGGTGGCCCATGTCCCATACAAAATAAAAATTGAACTCACCTTCAACATGCGCAATAAACATGTAATGGCAATGATCTTCCATCCTGAGCACGTTGGAACCAGTATGCCAATCAACCTGCTTGACATCGCCCCACGATTTGTCTCTAGCGGCCTCCATCAACGCGCGTCGCAATTTTGGCGCAAAACTGGGCTTGCCCCGCCAGACCAACTGAGGCGTTTTCTGAGACCAGGGAATATCCATTCGCTTGATTCGTTCCACCACCTGGTCATACGGCCCCATGTAATTATCGCGGTTATCCCAAGCCCAGAAACTGAAATCTGGCATGAGCCAAACCCCTTGTTCAGTGGGCGTGCGCGAAAAGACCCAAACCGGCCATTCAGAGTTGGTCACATCGTCGACCTTATCTTCCACCGAGAAAACAAATTCAATATCACGTCTGAAAGCTTGTCTCGGGTCGGCGGCCAGCGCACGATGGATTGAGCTTAACGTCCCCAGAATTTTGCGTCGATGGTCCTCGCCCTTAGATCTCGCCGTGACCACATATAATTGACCACTGGAGATGAAAGCGCGCGCCATACCATGTTGGATTGTGATCGCATCGAGTTCGGCCGACGATAAGCGACCGTGCGAAGACCAGAATTTGCCTCCACGCGCGATATCCTCGAATAGACCGGGGAAGGCAGCTTTGCACTGGCTGTCGCTAAGGGCTTCATTGCGACCGTCGCGAGCGTATTCAAAGGACCAAGCGGGGGATAATTCTTCTTGAAAGGCCGGTTCGGGACAGGTGAGGCATGTCGAGCATTGGAAGGTGGTAGATGATTCGCATGCGCAGTGTCCGGCGGGGATTAACTGAGTGAGCATGGGGTGGATGTATTCTCTGTCGGAGTTCATGCCAAACCAAATCACCATGACGACGCTGAAGCTAAATGCGGTTATGACGCACAGCAGCGACAAGCCGCGGCGCGGACGGATAGGAAATGAGGCTGTCATGGTGTACATGCAGACTGGCACGGCATGATCTGGGAGTGATCTGGGAGTGATCTGGGAGTGATCTGGGATTATCTAAGTGTATAGAGTATCTGTCTTAAAAGAATGAAAAGGACCTGGAAAGGAAAGAGAGAAGGGGCGCCGATCAAGGTAGCCCTGAAACAACCCCGGAAGAGGCAATGATGGGCGACTTTGGATGATCGCCCCCTAAGCCCCCAAATACCAACGGATTGGCAAGCCTCAGCCTGGCCCCAGTGGGGGGAGCGGCGTCATCGTTTTTCTTTTGGTTTCTGACATTTTAAAGATGTTCTTTTTTGATTGGGTTGACATCATTAGATTGGTTGGACAGGAATAATGCTCCGATATATACACACAGAGAGAGAGAGAGAGAGAGAGAGAGAGAGAGAGAGATGAAAAAGAGTAGAAAAATAGTATTGAGGTCGAAAAAGAAAACAAAAGAGACCAATGCCAAGACTACAAGCGTGAACCCTCTTTTTTCCTGGCTTGGGTGGCTTGGGGCTCTGGGGAACCTTGTCTAGTTGGAATATACCTATAGGTATTGATCGGCTATATATTCTCAATTATGATATATCTCTTAATATATATCCCTCTATCTGATAGGATGTTATAGAGTACTATAAAAAGATAGTCCCAAATATGGGATGAAGTCAGGTGTTTGAACAGAGTTACCATGTTCTCCTAGAAACAAGTATAAGCAATGTGTCTAACAATATCTGCTTGATCTTCTAGTATGACATGCACCCAATTGCCCAATCCAAGCCAATTTCCCCGACACAGAAACGCCCGCTGCAATGCATGAAAAATAACGCAAAATTTCACCTAGAGGGCCCAGGATTCATAAGCCTCGTCATTGTCCAGAGTGACTCCGACCATGTCGTATCCCCCGACTGCGGCCACTGGATGGAGCAGGCCTCTCAGCATCCATGTCTGGGGTGGCAGGTACTGCTGGTCGACGTTGTCGACTCTGTCGTACACGGCCGAGAGCTCGGCGTAAAAGCCCGTCAGCCTCCTCATCAAGATCCATTTCAACCTTTTCATCTTCAGCCGGGGGCGTGGCGACATGTGGCACCTCGTCCGTCCATTCTTCCACAAAGGGTTCTTGACGTGCACGTCGGCGAGACATCTCTTCCGCCGCAACTCGCTCTTTACCCTTGTGTTCACGAGACCGATTAGATCCCCGGCGTTTAGAGGCTGCACTAGACTCCCGCATGGTTTCCTCAAAAGCCGTGCGATCCTTTTGTCGCCCCTCCAAGGCCCACAGCTCAAGTGCACGTGAAAGTAATGTACCGGCCACACCAGCACCCCCGGCTGCATCGCCGCCGCCACTCGCCCCAAGTACACGCACGGCCTCATGCAACGCAGTCACCGCGTCCGTGGTTCGTCCCAACTCTAGTAACACAAGGCCACGAGAGGTATGAAGAGAGCCCGTCAGCCCCCGATCTTCGTAGCCCCCAACCCCAGATGCGGTTGCGATCGCCGCTGAGCCGCCAGTACCGCCACCCAAAAACGGCGAGTAGCCCATGCTGCTCCCTCCTGCGCCCACACGAAGACATTCATCAAATTCACGAAGGGACTCGGACAGACGGCCCATGCGACGGAAGGCATGACCCAGATTCGCACGTGTAGCTACCCAGGCACTAGGTTCGCAATGGAGAGTAGTAGCAAGTGCCAGTGCTTGCCCAAACAATTCGACGGCGCCACCAAGATGATTCTGATGGTAAAAGACAACTCCAAGCTCGTTGAGAACCAGTGGGTCCCCACCGACGGCGGAGACAATCCCTGACGGATTGGGTGTCAGGGAAGGCACAGAGCCCGGGGCAGCTCCAGTCGACATAGCGTGGGCAGCACATAGATACTCGTGCGCCAGAGACATGTTATTTAGGGCAAGATGTTGCATTCCTAAGAAGAGCTGGGGGAGATGACTGCCCTGGAAAAGTCGAGCGGCAGTGCTGTACGCCGCGATAGCTTGATCATGTTCACCTTCTGCGGCAAAGGTGTGCGCGAATCCAATCCAAGCCGGGGCTGAATGGGGATCCAGCAATGAGGCCTTTGAGAAGAAGCGTCGCGCCTCGGCCACCTTGGATACCGAGAGATAGTAGACTCCGATTGCCAAGTATGTGTAAGGCTCCTCGGGGGAGTGATCCGCGAGCATGTGAGAAAGTAAGAATAGAGCATTCGTGGCACCGGTCTCGTAAAGACAAGCCAAGTGGAGGGGATAAATGGCTGGAGCATGGCCCAAGTTGTTTTGGGCCGGAATGCTGGGATTTGTGGAGGTCAGGTCGGTTGATTGAGATGTGGAGAGGATGGAGGACGTCAATTCCAGAGCTTCTGCAAATCGACATTGCGTATACAGAGCCTCGGCGCGGGATAAGAGGATATCCGGGTTCTCTGCAAGATTATAATGTGTGGAGAGGGTTTCTGTGGCATCGGAGAGTATGGTGGGGGAGGAGTATTTTGAGAGACGGGTGGTGTAAAGCATCTTCGTAAAATGGGCGGCTTCCTGCGCCATCATAGGATCGGGCGATGAGACAGAATCAAAGTCTAGTGATTCTAGGAATTCCAATTCCTCCGTGGGAGACATGAGGGAATTCTTCATGAGTTGGTCAAATGCTTCAAAACACTGCACGTCGATGCGCACGGCATCCTTGTAACAGTCCCGGGCACGATCAAACGCATTCTGCTTGGCGAAGCAGAGTCCCCGTAAATAACACATGGCGGCTTCAAACCGGACATTATTGGCATCCTCCCGTTCTCGCTCCTCCGCCCGATCACTGCGCGGGGTCGCGCTCTTCCCGTTACGCAGTGTGACATGGCTTTGGTGTTGGATCTTGCGCCGGGTGTGGTTGTTCCGAATGAGATCCGTGGGATTGTGTTCGCCGAGAATGGAGAGGGCTTGTTCGAATTGATTCTGTTTGATGTAGCAGTGCGCAGCAAGATAGCGACAGGCGGTGCTTCGAGAAACGAGATCCTTGCGGGAGAGAAGAGCCAGGGCACGTGTGAAGTTGTTATTTGAAAAGTGTACTTGAGCCAGCCAAAAGGCGTCAGAATCACTGTCTTTGGCAACCAGTCAGTATTGTATATCTATCCACATCTGGTGTCTGTCCTTACTGGTGAGTGCTAGGACTTTGTCCCCAATATAGATTGCGGAATCATGCTGACCACGATTTAGCGCGTCTTGTCGCCAGGAGCGTAGGAACCTTTCCATAACGACGTAAGAAAAAGAATTCAAGAAGACAACCTAGAAGGAGCTTAAACAATGGCGGGTAACTTTGGGTCTATTTTGAAAGTGGCCCGTGCATGCCCTCTACCCTACAACCTGAAAGAAAAACCCGCAAGAGTTATAGCCAAGGTTAATATATTGTGATCAGGTAAGCTCTATATAGAATATACTCTATCTGGAATCTGCTGTTTCATGCATTTATGAACATAGGCACGACTCTGTACCTTAATGTAAGGGTCTACGAAACCCAATATTCAGTTCCCCCGTTCAAACAATCAATCCGTTAATCCCCACAGATAGGTCATAAGGATAGGCATCTAAAGGATCAAGATGATATAAAGACTCTCGAGTATAAACCGAATAGGAAGGCGCGGGTAGCTCTAGGAAGGAGCTACCGGCGCGTTCCTCATGCGCTTTTCTGTACTTCGTCCACGGGGGCGTCCACGGGTTGACCTTGGGGTGACTTATCGCCACGTGACTCGCTTATCGCTCCAACGTAATCTCTTATCGCGCCATAATGGAACGAACTAAGTTCCCCGAGTCCAAAGTGAGTTTGAGTTTCTACTTCATTCTTTTACAACTACCTACGACAAGATGGCTGAACGAAAGGTTTTATCCAAGTATTACCCCCCGGATTTCGATCCCTCGGCGATCGAGCGCTCGTCTAAGCGTTCTCGCAAGGATGGCAACGGGCCCAAGCTTTCGGCGAGCCGTCTGATGACGCCTTTTTCCATGAAATGTACCCACTGCGGTGAATACATTCCTAAGGGTCGCAAGTTCAATGCCCGGAAGGAAACTCTCGAGGAGCGATACCTTTCAGTCCAGATTTTCCGATTCTACATTCGTTGCACCCGCTGCAGCGGTGAGATCACCTTCCGCACTGACCCCAAGAGTAAGTTCAGTCCCATGAAGACATACCCCAATGAAAGACTCTACTGAAGCTGACATCTTACCCAGACAATGACTACCAGTGTGAGCGCGGTGCGAAGCGAAACTACGAAGTCTGGCGCAACAACACAGACGAGAAGTACAATGACGAAACCGAGGAGCAGACTCTGGACCGACTTGAGAAACAGCATGGCGAGAAGGAGGAACAGATGGAGCGTGACAAGATGGCCGAGCTCGAGGACAAGATGCTTGATTCCAAGCGCGAGATGAAGGTTGCCGACGCCCTCGACGAGATCCGCACCCGCAACGCCCGTATCGAGCGCAAGGAAGCCGGTGGTGCCGAGGCTGCTCTTGCTACCGTCCAGGATGAAATCGACGAGGAAACCCGCCGAGCTGAGGAAGAGGAGGCCGCCGACCGTGAGGCTCTTCGCAAGGAGTTCCAGGCGAAGAAACGTGCTGCACAGGACGACGCACGCGTGGCTGCCATCGAAGCAATCCTGAACCAGCCCCCTCTGAGAACATGTTTAAGCGCCGCAAGCGACCTGCTCCTCGTGATCCCTTCGGTCTCCGCAAGTCGAAGCCACGCCTCGTCTAAGGGCCCATCACACGTGTTTAACACCGAGGAAATTTTTTTTTATGGGAAACGGAGTTTAGGGATGGCAAGGATAGGAAACTGATTTTCACGACAGTACCTGGTGACTAGTCGAATCAGCTATGGCGGACGATGAACGTATTGTATTCTTTTACACAGATACTAATACATGATAACTTTATCAATGCTTGGGGTAATGATAATAGAGCACCTTAGTTCCTACAAGTACAGTAATATTCGAAATCAGATTTACCTCTTAACACTCTTGGACTTTCATTCCCCCTATGAAACACACTAGTCTAATTTTAGCTATACCCCAGGAATCCCGGTCAGACTGTATTATTATATGCCCTGGTAACACTGGATAGAGTAAATTTGACCTCACTCCCTTCTCGATTCTGTGATCCTTTTCAATTTCCCCATCTCCAACCAGGTTCCGATCACTACCATAGTGAGTAGTATTCCACAAATGTAGACCTGAGGATTCCCGTCACCAAATTCGGGATCCATGGCCTTTGAACCGGGATAAAAAAGGGCACTCAATTGAGTAATCCAGTAAAGGCTTGCTAGCCATGCCCCTGTAGCGAAGGAGTCTCTTTCAAATGTCTGTTGAACGGCAGGAGTTGATGCAAACAGAGACTGAGGTTTTGGTCGATATAGGAAGTACAGAGTCGTGAGACCGAGAACCATGCCCATAGACATAGTTTGTCCATTGTGGAATTTCGCGTGAGGGGTCCATCGAGGATTGAAAACATGAGTTTCATTCCAGTCGGCGAGATATCCACCGAACGACGTCGTCAATGCAACGAGAGTTAGGAGGATGCGATCAGCCATAGTGAATGAGAATCAGAGGAGGGTGCTTTGGAAGACGAAATTTCGCAACTCTTTTAATTCAAAGAAGATACCCCGTCGAAGTTATCTTAACGCCGCAGCGTGCTCGGCATGCTTGGGACGCCGAATGCTTCTGAATTCTGGGTTGCAAGCTTTTATACTACTTGTTTTTTTTTCGGCTTCAAAGAACTCCCGAAGCTCCGCACGTCCGAGTCATATGCAGTTACGAATTCAAATGCGGCTCATACACAAAAAAATGGGACGCAAATCGCCAATAAGGTAAATCTAATCATAGTGATTGCCTTGTTTACATGTAGATCTTCACTATTCTATGGTGGGTTACCCGTGGGCAGGTAAAGAAATTGGAAACCCCAAACCCAACGCTTTGCGAGGTCTGTCAGAACTCGGAAATCACATATTGTCACTACATCAAAAAGGTGCACATCTTACTTGGTAAGGCACTTTTTCTAGTTGATAAGTACCAATGGGTCACATGTGTAGGCCTATGGAAAGGCAGGTGGAGCTATTACGAGGATTCAGTTCCAGGGAAAGCGATTCGCGGTGTCAAGCTGGAGAGAGGCCAAGGACTAGCTCACCGTTCCTTTGGGAGTTACGCATAACACGCGGGCTAGAGCACAGTCTAGCCAGTTTTACCGACTGCCGTGGGAATCAGATACTTAGCCAAAGGGCCGTGCGTTAGGCTAGGTTCGTCCCGACTGCCGAGCGTTGCCGCCGGGCCATGCACTTTTTATGGACCCGGTTTGATTGAGAGATATTTACCGTACAGAGGTAGTAGCTAGATGTCGTTCTGTTGACTCGGCAGACTCTCTAATCTGGACTCACTAGGCACACTGCAATAGAAACGTCGGCACCTTGGCAGCTTACCCTCTCGGGTCGACATTATTCTCGACCTTACTAAAGTTGGCTTGGCTTCCCCACTGCCTTTTTTCGTTCCCCCAGCGCCTAGCGCTCGTTCCTTGCGGATTCCGCTACGACCGAAGTCCGAACATGCTATTTGTAATGATTTTTTTTCGGAATTCGAGGGGCTGAAATCCTGCGCCTGAGCTATAAGCCTCGTATATAACCGTTAACCACGCGTCGTACCTTTGTACTGAAATCACAGGCTATACTCTTTTTTTTTCATCTCCATGAATACATTCGATATGTCAAGCATCACTGCTTCTGGCCTCCTAGGCCCTATCGCCGCCTTAAATGGCTGGACCTTAGTCATGGAAGTATGGATGTACGCCGTCTGCATTCCGGTTTACAACAGAATCAAAGTTACAAACCAGACCACCAAGAGCCAAATGGACGCACAGATGCCTGCCCCTGCGCGCTGGAAGCGAGATAACTATAACCATCTATTTGAACAGCCAACCCAATTCTACGCGATCGCTTTAGCGCTGGCGGTTGCCCGTGGAGGCAAGATTGCCCAACTGGATTCGATTCTTGCCTGGACATACGTTGGCGTCCGTGTTTTGCATAGCCTGGTTCAATCCACGACAAATACTCTTATGGCGCGATTTTTCCTGTTTGGATTCTCGTCGAGCATTCTGGCAGTTATGACTGGAAGACTGGCCATGCTTGTTCTCTAAATCATGGCAGAGGTGGCCTAAAGAGCTTTGTTCATCGAGGTACGTAAAGTCGTTTAATAAAAGTAATTCAAGTACTCTAACTAATACGTTTATAAGCCGGTTCCAGGTGTCACCGGCACGTACTTACTCTCACTACACTGGCTAGACGGAATCCTTCGTGTATATATTGTTTATGAATAGGGACTTTCTTGGTGGTTCCAAGGGCCTTTGAATTGGTAGTTGTGGTATACCCTCATTGCGGGTAGATCGATTTGCCCTATTGACATGCTTCTTCTCAAACGCTCTTTATATATAGTCCTTTTTCATTTTGGTCGTCTTTCGAAATGTCTGTTAAATCGTTTTCAAAATCTTATTTTAAGATTCTCTAGCTAGATATACAAGCGGAATAAGTAGCGTTAGGCCAGATCAGGGTAATAGCGGAAGCAACCTTTGGACGTAAGCGCGCGGCTGATGCTTGATTTGGTAGCTTGAAGAACGAATCGGTCACACAGAAAATTCGCCATCTCGTCGAGATACAAGGTGGGCTTTTCGAGAGATGATCGCGCGAAGCCTCGAGCATGAGTTGAGTGATACTACGGGGTTGTGTCGGTGTGGCGCGGGGGGTGGGAACCTCGTGCGAAATTCATCCCAGAGGAAGACAGCCATCTAATCGAGATACAGACCCCGTTTTTCCGACAGGCGGTCGCAGAGTGCGTCGATCCTTAGCGGTGTTACGGTTGGTTTTCGACCTATGCCAGTTAGGGGTGCGTGGACGCTGCCGAACTGCCGTAAGTTTCTGCGAATATTTATGATGTGACCTTGCTGCACTCGGCCTCTTCTGCCATTTAAGTAGTTGTTAGTGACTGACTCTCTATGATATCTCGGATGAGATGCAGCTTGGAGGGGGAGTCTCGGGGCCATATTGCAAGCCTAGTTAGTGTAGGAGGTCGTTCAAGAATCATTTATAGGTGAAGTATCCTGTTGCTTAGGGGGAGAAGGGGTGGTATCGATGTGTAGCAATTTTCTGTAATTTACAAAGGATATGATCCCACCTATGTCATGTGCCCTGAAACGAACGAAGTGAGAGAAAGGAGATTCATCAACACGGATGTACGTGTGCGCGAGACGTTGCAAAAAAAAAAAAAGGTAGCTTAACTACCTGCATTATTGTCGCTTTCTTCGGACTAGATCCTCTTAGCTTAGGGTTGTAGGGTTATATGTGAATATCTTTGCATGTTGAGCTGCTGTGATTGCTTCGTCACTTGTTGTCCCTTTATTACAACGCTGTGCTGTTTATTACTACGATTCCTAGTCAGTATGTTTTGTATTTATCCTTCGTCTCGCTTTCGTGTCCTACCTTTGAAATCTTATCTAAACGGCCTTAGTATAACTGTTGTTGGATGTTCGCTGTGTATGCGGTGTGAAGCTAGCATCTATCTCAAAACAGACGTGGAAAGCACCCAGTTCGTGGGGGTTTCCGGGTTCAATCGTGGAGGTGCAACGCCAGTCAAGAGCGACAGATCCAGCGGGACATCTACGCCGGCTAGTGCTGGACGGAATGGAAATGATAATGCAACAGGTGGAGTTTAAGCTAGCATTCACGCGATCAGGATTTGACGACTGATTTCAAGCAATGGGAGGCGTTATTTGTTTTCAGGATGAATATCCTCAGATACCAATGAAATGGAAATCGAAACATTAATAACTATCAGTGCTAATATTCTGAACTATCAAAGACATTATAGAAGCTATTAAAACAAGAAAGAAATCGGTATCACAATCATAGTAACGTGAAGTAAAGATGCGCCCACGCTCAGAAAAACAAACCCATAGATGAAACCACCGCTTCAGAACATACAATAGCAACAGAAGGGAGGGCAGAAACACGCTACCGGACAAGATCGCTCACAGATACGGCATCCACAACGCATCGCACGAGGCCAGATGCTGAGGGTTGACAGCCTTGGAGATCAAGTCAATGGTAGTCTGATTGGCAGGCAAGTTACCCTCGGGTGGGCTGGCAAGACTGACAGCACGGTTGACGATGATTTCACTGTTGTTGTAGACCAGGTCGCGGAGTTGTCCAGGGGGCAGGACACCGCGGTGATGAGCCGTAGCCCAGAACATCATCTCGTCGCGAACGAAGACGCTAAGTTGTTGCTCCAACTCGTGTCGTGGCTCCGTCAAGCAGCGGGCGATTGCCATCATGGCACAGGCGAACACACCCTCCGTCGCAATGGGACCCAGAAGAGTCTGGATGTTTGGTGTGAACCGGAAGGGGACTTGCTCGGGGTTGTAGAAGAACGCCTTGGCTGGGTTGATGGTGGGGATCAATTCGGCACCCCAGATATCACCTGTTGAACGAGAGATCATAATTTTGTTCGGGTATCGGTTGCCGATGTGCATGACGTAGGTCATGAAAGCGATTGCTGCGTACTGGTAGGCAAATTGACGACGGAAGAGCCAGAAGTCCGAGAAATTCGGGTATGTCTGCTGGCAGTATTCCAACACCACGGTACTAGGGACCCATTTGTCTTGAATGGCAGTCAGGATTTCCGTGCGAAGGACTTGTTGCTGATCGGGCGTGCGCTGAGAATTGTTAGCTTTTGTTATGAGAAGGGTAGACTGCACACTTACATTCTGCTTGGTTTCTGCCAACGACCGCATCTTGTCCATTGTGAAGAGCACAGGGTCATCCTTGTTGATGCCCTTGCGACGGCAGTAATCCTCATAAATTCCCTGCATGGAGATGTAGGAGGAATCATCGCGCACTAAACGAATGTGTGGAGCTAGAGGAACCATCAACGGCAGGTGGAAGTATAAGTTGCGGCGGCGACTCTCCTTGCGTTTCGCCAGCAAACCGTTGAAAATCCGGAACAGCTGAAGAATGCGTTCTTCGCGCCTACAGTGACGGGCAGCGGGATGCTGAACTGCAAATGCTTGTACACTGCCATCATGTCCTCGGATCTTCAAGCGGCGGTGACAGACACCAATGCCACGGATGAGATCCACATCGGGAAGGAAGCGGTCGATGCGGACAAAGTCTTGGTTCTTATCCTTGTGGAGTAGGTACTGGCCGGGAACCTCGACCTCATCAAACTTGAGGAAGCGGAACTCACTCAGATGAGGCGAAGAGTTCTCGAGGAATGTGTGCTGTGATCTGCGATCAAGCTTTTCCTCGAACTTGTCACGCCAGCGCCGCAGCTTCTGGATGTACTCGTTCATGGTTGGCTTCTTGGTCACAAAGTCAGCCTCAAACGACTTGCGAATGTGAGCTGGGAGAATTGTCTCCGCAAATCTGGTGATGTTGGCTTCTGTTGCCGCAGGCAGCTTGAAGTCTTGGGCATAAGATCCGGGCATGCGACCCACGTAGGCCAGGCCATCGTTCAAGAGAGCAACGATGAGTCGGTAAGCATCCTCGTCAGGGGGACACTTGAAGTTCTTGTGGATCTGGTCAACCATTGTCTCCATAGACAGAGCAAGCAATGGGAAGGCCGTCTTGAGTCCAGACATGATTTCGTCCGAGTACTCCCATGGTTTCTTCAGAGGTTCCTTCTCGCCCTCCACTGGTGCAGCCTGGTTCAGTTGTGGTGTTCCAGTCTGACCTGGCACTTGCAGATGAATTTGCTGCGCTTGGCCCGGAGTTTGACCAGCCTGTGGGGATGCCTGCACGGCGTTTTGTGCTTGTGCAGGAGACTGGGTTTGGGCGAGAGCCGGATTTTGTGTAGCAGGTGAGTTCGCAGGCGGAACTGATGGGGATGCAGTTGCAGCTTGGGCTTTCTGGGCAGGGGAGCTATCGGCACCAGCAGGATTAGGCTTCGTACTTGGCGAGGATCCTTGCTGCTGCTGTCTGGCCCGATTCAACTTCTCCTGCTTCTGGTCATGCTGCTTCTTGATGCTCAACATGTCCTCTCTGTTCGTGCGAAGCAAGAAGAAGAGAGCCTGCGGGTACAGCTTTGCGATTTTGACTAGGACAGCCTTGCAAAGGCGCGCCTCTCGGTGGGACAAGCTGGTGAGGAGCTGAGGAATGAAAGTAATCCAGTACCACACCGGCGTGTCTCCCTTGAAGTTCTCGAACGCACTTGCAATCTTTCCTTCGTCGTTGTCCAGGCTGAGAAGCCAAAGAATTCTGCTGAGCAGTTTGCGGGATTTCGCACTCTTGTAGAGACCAGCAGCCTCTAGGTAGCAACTAACGGCATTGCTGGCCAGCTCGTAGTCAGTGGGATCAGCCTTGAAGCGCTGATCACTGTATTGTCCCCATTCAGACCAGGCCTTAGCAAGGCGGAGATCGTAGTAAAGAGCAACTCCAAACGCCTCATTGGCCTCATTGACATGATCAAGCTTAGCGAGGAACATGCCCTTGAGTGTGTAAAATTCGGCCTTCTGTTGCGGCCCGAAGTAGTTGAGGTTAGTGTTGTTGATCACATCCAACCCGCTGTTCAGCTCCTTCGGATTCTGGTAGTGGCACTTCGCTTGCTCCCGAAGCTTGAGGAAGGCTTCTTGGATTTCGATGTTGGGAAGGGTATAGATACGGCTCAGTTGGTTAATGCAGACCTCTGGCATCTGGTGCTTTCGAGCTACGTGGGCGAATCGGTTGATGATCCAGGCCGTTTCATGGTATCCGCGATAGGCGTAAGAGTTGCTGGCCACATTATTCGTCTGTGGGGGTAAAAGACTGAGGTAGGTGCCGTTGATGAGCTGGAAGATGTGTTGACGCCAGGTGACGAGGTCTTGCCACGTGTTGATGTCATCCCAGAGATTAGGCAGACGATCTCTCCAGGTTCCGAGAAGCAGCTTGAGCTCGGCAGATTTGGTATCCAAGTTTCGTTCGTTTGTCTGAGCTAAGCTACTACAGATGTGGCTTGCATCGTGCAGCTCAACCAGGAGTTGGAAATGCTGCAGGATGGGAATATGAGCATTGGTGATGCGCTTCGGCAACTGAAGCCACTTGCGAATAGAGAGCTGGATAGACTCATCGCAAACACTGTTGAAGTCTTGAATATTGTCCTTCTTCGTGTGGTATTGGAGAAGGGCCATGAAGGCCTGGAAGAAGGTGCGTCTGGGAGTCGGAGCATCGGATACAGACTTGATCAACGACTCAAGCTGCTCGCGGTTACCTTCGCTCTGCCAGTTCTCGATGTTTCTCCAAGCAGCCTCCAGCAAGAGATCGTTGAGGTTCTCATGCTTGGCGAAGTCGCTTAGAATCTCCCATTGCTGGAGTTTCTGGGCGCAGATCAGCCAATGATCCTCCCATACAAAGTATTCGCCCTGCGAGAATGGCATGGCACCGGAACGGGCCTTGATTTGGGCGTTCTCATAGAGTTGCTGAGACTTGTCCCACATTCCTTGTTGCTCATACGAAAGCGCGGCGTTAGTTTCCACAAACTTGCAACGGCGGCGCCAGGTTCCGTAGAAGAAGTCATCTTCTTGGAGGCCTGCGTAAACCTCAACGAGAGCATCGAGATTGCTTTCGCGTACAGTGGGCGTGTCAATGATCGGATTAATGGCGGATTGTTCAAGGTAGGTCGCAGCAGTGTACCATGCGTCGTAGGTGCGGCTGAGATACTTGATAACATGTGGAGGAATCTTGAACCGGGGACTAGCACGCACAGTACCCTCCAGGAGAGCTTGCACGACGTTGGGCCGCTTGTCCAGTTGTCTGTGGTGGTACTCACGAGTGAGCAATGTGACCATGTCCTTCTCGAGATCAAGACAGTCTTTATTGGATAGTGTGGACCAGAAGAGAGGGAAGATGGTAGTCCACAGCTGGTAGGCAACATTCGAATCGGTGTGTTGAAGTTGACATAAAGGCTCGATCAGATCCCGAACTCTGACATCACCGATATCCGACATGAATCGCCTCCGCTCTGCGACGAAAGTCTCCAGCTGGTTGTCAACCATAATGTCGGCCTTCCTCGGATCCTTTTCGCCGCTGCCGAAGAGGAACGACACGGGGAACAGGGTGAAGTCTTCTGGGTGCAAGCGGGCTGTGGTGGTCATATCCACACATCCAAGCACCAAGTGCGATGCTTGGGCCAGCCAGAAGGAGTCAGCAAGAGTATCCCAGTTCTGGCATGTGAGGACATAGCTGAGACGCGAGCTGGCAAGGCGAGTCAAACTCTTATCGAAGATTTGCATGAAGCGGTTCCGCATTTCGACGTCTTGGGCTCTTGTGCCAATCAGGAAAGCATGCTCCAGACGGACTGTCAACTCAGTCCGAGTGATCTTTGAATCTTCGTAAATCCGAATAACAAGATCAAGGAACTTCTTCAACATTGTCTGATTAGGTCGAGATTCGAAAAGCAGCATCTTATGCAGAACAGCCGTCTTCTCCTTCAGGGTGGGCCATGACTCGGTGGAATGGAAGATCCACGATTCCGCCATGCCCAAAATCTTGCTGCACAGCTCGATATTTTGTGAGCGCTCAACAATCTGTGCGAGAACGCTCAAGAATGGACGACGCTGGTCTCCAAGATGAGACATTCTAACGGAGATGAGCTCAATAGTCTTGAGGATGAGATCAACTCCAATCTCAAACTCTTGCTGATCAGTAGTTGGAGCACCTTCGGCAGGCTTAGTACCGTTCGTCAGCTGGGCGCCATTCTGTGTTGAAGCAGCAACATGCTCCTTGGCGAGCTTTGTAGAGAAGGCCTTCATCACCGCGGGGATGTGGGCATCGATCTCAGCGGGCTTGATCTTGGAGAGCGTCCACAGTATGTTCAAGCTTGAGACGTAGTTGCTGGCAGAAAGTGTCTCGGTAGCGATGGCAGACAGATATGAGCCGAACTCCGAAGGCGTACCTTCCGTGTCCATAGCATCCTCATCATCAGGCTGTTCATCTGGAATGGCCTCGAGAACGCGGCGAACAGGAGGCGGCAGCTTGTGCAAAACATCCATGTCGTCTTCCAGTCCATGTAGACAATCCTGAATCTCCGGGTTGTCTGACTTCAAGGGCTTCTCAAGAAGCTTCTGGATGGTAGGAAGGCGAGCGGCAATCCACTCATTGGGTTTGGCCGCGATAAGCACCCTGACGACCTGCAGTGTGTTGACTATGTAGGTGATTTTATCCTCGACTTTATCACCCTTGTCACCGACTAGGATTGGCTCAGTCACCTTTTGGTAGAGATCAATGTCTAGATCGCCCCAGTACTCGGGAGAGAGGAGGCTGCGAAGCAGGTTAATAGCTTTGTTGATCATTTCGCCAGTGGCCACAGGGTTTTGCTGCTTTGTTGTGGGAATTTGACGAATCTGCGCAGCTGGGACCAGGAAGCGTTCGGGGATTGTGGTGATGAACGTAATGAGGTACTTGATCAATGACGCACGCAAATCGGTAGGCACAGTGTAGTCCGATCGTTCGCGGCTACTGGGGGGACCAAGAGCGGGGGACGGCGATGGCTCTTGAGCTTCGTCCAGCTTGCGTTTCCTGGCAACTGGAGACTCGGATGTCCCGTTGGCCAAGTGGCTGGCCTCGGCATTGTGAGCCCGCTTTTCTTCCCAGTGCCAAATCAAGCTAATCAAGTTCAATGCGAGCTTCTTGCTGTCATTGGAGGTGTTTGGTGGGCCGGTAATCTTGACCAAGGATGGAACAATGAGAGGCACAAAGTGCTCCCTTGATTCGTAGAAGAGATCAGGCTGTCGAACCAAGAACTGGAAGATACTCATGACCTGCTGAAGGTTGGCAGTTTCCTCAGCTAGGATACGACGGGGCCATTTGGCCCACAAGGGGTACCGTGCCTCTGCTCCAGAGCTGTTGGCTGTCCGTGTGGGGAGGACAGGAGCCAGGACATCGAGAGCCTGCGTGACAAGGGCTCTCCCTTCATTCTGGTGGGCCCTCAGCAGTGCGACATAGACCTGGATCACAATCTTGAATGGGGTCTCGTAGTGCGCAATGAAGTAACTGATCAAAACGTAGGCACCATACTTGTTGATAATATCTTCGAGTCGGATGTAGTTCCAGGCAAACTTGATGATGTCTTTGCGGGAATCCTGCACCGTTTGTGAATGATACTTGATCAACAAAGCAGACAGCTGTAGCAACTCCATGCGTGAGTGGTCGACGCCAGCTTGATTGGACTCCTCGCTCAGATCAGCCAGCTGAGGCTTCCACAAACGACTCTGGATAGACTCGGTCATGCTCTTATCCATCAACTTGGGTGTGTTTGGAGGGCTATTCCAAGTGACCTGGACGTCCATGGCAAAGATTGGGTTGACCAGGTGGCGGAAGGCATACGTCTTGGTCTTCTGCGGGCAGCTCTTCTGGCCATAGAGGTCGAGACAGCGCATGATAACAGACCGCCGGTAATCAATGGATTCATTGGAGATGATGCTCTTGTAGATGAACTTTGGAAGCGCAAGCGTGCGTTTCAACTCATCGGCAGAGAGTCCGTCGATCACTTCGAACAAGAAGTCCAGATCATGGGTGGCCTCCGCCAAGTACATGGTGAAGATATCCATCAGTTGGTCTTCGGCTTGCTCCACTCGGAGTCGTTCATCAGCCGGCAGACTGTCGCCACGGAGCTTCCTCTCCAGGTCTCTGCCGGAAGTCAGGAGCTTGGTTCTCATCTCTGCGTGCGAGACCAACCAGCGCTTGGTTGAACTGTAGGCACAGAGGGAGTGTGCGACATAGACTCCGTTGATAGCAGCAGTGTTCATGCCGTCGGTAGCGTCCTGACCAAAGGCAGCGGCGGAGAAGCCATCCGTGTCAGCGACGATGGCGTTCCGTAGTCCTTCACTCTCGGGGTCAGCCAGGATCTGTCCGAAGAATCGTCCAAATCGCTCATCGTTGAAGCGCGCAAAGAAGAATGCAAGACTCTCTTTAGGGTAGCGATTGAGATACTTCACAAGCGGCTTGCGGAATGGACTGTGGGAGGTTCTTCGAAGCTTCAGTTCGAGATCCAAGACCTTGTTGACAAGGTGCTCCATGAAAGAAGTGGCGGCCGGTGGAAGGAGATGGAAAATATTGAAGATCGCAGCGACTATTTTCATGGCCGGGTTTTGCTCAACAAGACTGAAAGACACCTTCTGCAGTACGGCATCATCCGCGATGACTTTCATATGATCAAGCAGACGAGCGCCGATTTCGACTTTGAAATAGTTGGTCAGCAGTGTCAAAAGACGAGCAAGACCATCCAAACCAGCAACACTGAGGCGCTTGGGATCCTGGAGGTTCATGAGGATAGGGCGCAGTCCATTCTGCAACAGGTCCTTAGGAAGCTTGTTGGTTTGGGTGAGAACATCACGAAGACCAGCATTCGCGGCTTCGATCACCTCCTGTGACTTTGAGTAGAGCGACTTGAAGAAGACGGAAATTATGCGAGCCCTGCTCGTGTTTTGTGGCGTGTTGGCGAACTCGGAGAAGCTCATTGCCATAGACAAGAGACGAAGACAAGCAACACGGAGGTTCACAATCATATCTGCAGTCTTGAACTCGTTTGGCTTGGAGGCTAGGGATTCATCATCAGCGTCAGCGAGCGCGAGAGATTCCAGCATCAAACGGTTCAGCGGTTCATTGAAGGTGACGATATCGTTGTGGAGGCCGAGGCAGTACGTGATAGCATCGATGAAACCGATCTGTGTTGGGAAAGGTAAAGCACGCAGAGGCTTGTTGAAGATCGACTGCAAGAGACGATCTCTGACTGGGAAAATAAGCTCGTGCACCTCACAGCCGAGAACATCCTTCAATGTGGTAAAGCAACGACGAGCAGTCTCCCGGACATGTTTGTTCATGTGGGCGAGCTCAAAGACGAAGAAGCCACACAGCGCAAATAAGCGGCTCTTCTCGTTCTTCAAATCCTCTTTCGGGATGAGCTTGCCACATCGTCGCAGCATTAAGGTCATTGTCTCTTGTGACTGAAGCCGCGTAGCAGCAGGGAGATCCGCGGGCGTGTCCTTGATAACATACATCAAAGCCCGACAAAACTCAACATGTCGCTCATAGAGCCAGGTATCTCCCAAGTCCAGCTTGGTTGCGAGCAGGCTGATTCCCAGGCTGCCACCGGCTTTGGTGAACCACTCTTCGCTATAGCAGCTGTGGCAGAAGACGCGGCCCAGATGCACGAAGAACGGAAGTTTGGCTGCTTTGTCGGGTGATCCGAAGATGACGCCCGCGGCATCCTTCACGACAACCATTGCTTGCTCGGCTGCTTCTCGGACGTGTACCTCATCGGATGACAAACACTCGACTAAAGCCTCGGCGAGAATCCTGGAATCGAGATACACAGGTCCTTCCCCGTTTGCAACGTCAAAAGCTTTGCGGCCGTGTCTGACTTGGGCCAGGGCACGACCGACCTCTACAAGAGTAAAGTGCTTGCAAACATCCGCCACAAAGGCCGTGGCGGTTTGTTCGAGCTCAGGGATAGTCGTGGCAAATATACAAGCCTTGATCAGCTTCTTCACTGTTGCTTCCTGCGCAATCTTCTTCGGAATAGAGGCCGACCTTTCAGACTTGTCAAGGATATCTGCCATAGCACCCGGCTTATTCTCAAATAGATCATTGGCATGGAGTCTGATCAAGATTGCCATGTCCTCGGGGATGTTGTCGTAACCAATTTGCAGCTTGAGGTGGGAGCTTAGCATGCGGTAGGCTTGCTGCTTGTAGTAGATGTCCGAAGCTTTCTCGGAGTCCGTTTTGGGGACCTCCATGAGTTTACCGGCAGCAAGATCTATTCCAATATCTACAGGGAAAGGCCGCTTCTCGTTCGGGCCGATCAACCTGATATCGAAGCTTGGGTTATCATCAGAAAACTGCTGGAACGACAATTCTGGCGGGTGGTTGAGGAACTTCCGATTCCGTCCGCCAAGTTTTCCCAGGATCCGCATGGTAGTGTGTGCGTGGAAGTGGTTGTAAGGAGATGGGCGCAAGTGATCCCAAAGAGCAGTCATCAGCTCATCCATTATTGGACCCATGATTGGATCGAGATAGTCCGCTGTGAGGTTGTCCACGCAGAGTTCAAGAGTGCGCAAACCTTGGCCGACAAGATCAGAATCGGCACGCAAGGCGACCACGATTGGGCGCATTAGATAGCTGAGGTGAGGGAGAAGATGGCTCAGCCGGGCAGGAACAGTGAGAGTCAGTTCCACGTAGAGATCCCGTTCTTGCGGCTTGCGGGCTGCAAGCAATAAGTTATTGAATGTTTCGAGAAGCATCTCTAGAAGGGGGAGGATCTCTTTGTACAGGAGCTCAAATCGGCCCCCACCAATGCTTCTGAAGAGAGACCTCAAAAGAAGGAAATAGTTCATTGGCTCCTCGGCTGTGACTGAAAGCTCAATGCACTTGGTTACAATTTTCGTCACATGCGGATGGAGGACCTGCTCGTTTTGCACAGAGAATAGGGTCACAGCCATAAACGAAAGTTTAAACATCCTCAGAAGTATCTTTGCCTTCGTCATGTCTGAAGTCCCGACCTCGTCAATTCGTTCCATAAGGTACTGCAAGACCATACCAGAAAACGCGGGAGAAGTGGCCTCGCTAGCCAAGAAGAACTGGGGCAGGTGAAGGAGAGCCCCATGTTCAAACATGAGCTCATGTAGGTATGGGATTTCGGAATGGAAGACTTCGTGGAACGTTGCAGTATCAATGCAGTGGAAAACAGTACCGAAACTTTCCAGAAGCTCCTTTTCTTCGCGCGACATTGGGGCAGTGTACTGGCTTGCAAGGAAGTCAAATGGAGATGCGTAGTTCATCTCAGGGGGAGACTGGTCCACCCCATAGTATCGGAACACACGAGCTCCCTCGTGGAAGAGCTTCTTGATCACACTAACTTCCTCTGCATTGTAACCGTACGAAACTTCCGACCAGTTGATGGGAACGCTGTTTGGGTCGATTTGAATATCATCTGGGTTGCAATTCTTCAATTGTCGGAAGATGTTCTTTAACCCATTGATCAAGTTTCGGAAGAGGAAGATGTTGTCCGAAACTGGGTCACCTCCGCGATCACGCGGACTAGATGTCTTGATAGGAGAAGCCGAGAAGATATCAATTTCATCCCAGTCCGGTGGCTGATCCTTCTCGGCAAGGTAGTTCTCGGCGCACGGCTCGGTGTCCTGTCGGAAGACTTTGTACGCCTTGGAAACCTTGACAGCGTTCTTGAATTGGTGGTTCATTGATGCGAACTTGTCACCAATAGCATCTAAAATCATTATTAAGAAATATCTCGCCTCACGCTTGTCTTCTAGTTTGGAGATATTCTCTGCCATGTTCAAGAGAAGTTTTGCGCTCATTGTCTGGAAGCTGGTGCCAGGGAAATCGTCGTGGAGGTTTTTTGTGTAGACTTCGACCGTTCGCCGTATCTGGTCGCGACTCAGATGGTCACGAACATGGTGTATTAAATCAGCCAACATGCTGTAAGCTAATGGTCGCATAGTCTCATAGACAGTGAGGCCATCTCCGATGAGAGTCCGCTCATCTAAAAGCTCATCAATCTTCTCAAGGAAGATCTTGCGATAGTTGAAATTGATGATGTGACGAATGGCTACTAGCAACTCCTTCCTTGCACCTGACTTCTCTCGTGGACAATCTTGAAGGAGACGCACGACGACAGAAGGAAGCGTAGGAAGAAAGTCCTGTAGCTGATGGGCATAGAGACGCAATAGATACGCTAAGAAGCTCATCGTTTTCACCTGAGCTGTGATGAACTCTCCAAATGCAGCGCGATTCTTGATTTCCTTACACACACCCGTAAAGATTGTGCCTTGAGCTGCTGCTTCTGCGTGTGCCTTTTCTTGGGGCTTCGCCTGAAGCAACAAAATCGTTTTGATGAGCGGGACAAACAGCTTGACGTTGGCCGGCACCGATGCGCGGTGTGTCTGGAAGATTGATACGACGATAATCGGGCACTCTGCGAGGACCTTGAACGACTGCATACCCTTGAGGAGGACATTACTCGACTGCTGATCAGGTCCTAAATCTGATACCGAGGTGGCAGGTGAGCTCGGTCGGGGAGACTGGAAGTTCTGTGCTGTTGCGTTGGGCGTCGAGGGCATTCCGGAGGGCGTGGCCTGGTTGGGAGTGTCGAAGGTATCCCGAACCACTTGCTCCATAGTCTGAAACATTTCCTGGATAAGCTCCAAGAAAGCCTGCACTCGGTGTGCGGTGACCTTGGCTTGGTTCCTCTCCAAATCCATGATGGTCTTCATGCATAGCACCGCATTATCTTCGTTCTCGATCCGCGCAAGTTCCATCAACAGATCGACCATATCGACGGCGTACGGCTCCACGTCGGGGGACCCCATCGGTAATCGGTGTAGTGTCTCGAGGATGCAGTTTCGTAGTTTCTAATGGATGAGCAGAGTGGTTAGCTCATTATGCGCAAAATTCATCGAGAGCAAGCTTGTGCCAAATAATCTCACCTGGTCGTAAGACATGCTGAAGAAGACCGGGTCTCCCTTCAGAATATTTTTGAATACCGGCCATAGCTTCGCTAGGAATATAGGGTAGCTTGCGCCCGAGCATAAGGGCTCAATGCTGTCTCGTAATTCGGTAGCGACATTGGCTCGGACTTTGACGTCTATTGAGATCACAGGATAGTTAGAACGGAATTCGGACAGCGAGACTAGCTAGCGCAGAGCTCATCAACATACCCAGCTTCTCGTCGCCGAGTTTGCTAGCGTAGATATCTATGTTTCGCTCCATCGCTTTGATCTGACCCTTCTCAAGGGCTAGCGATTAAATGGAAAGAAACAGCAATTACGGCCGGGCCGAGAGGCCGGCTGAGGAGAGAGGAGTGTGCGCAGTCTTCCCGGGGGGAATTGGGCTCTCATATGTTGTGTTGTGGTGTCACGGAAGCTCTGTGGACTCGGTCGATATGCGAAAAGATCGGAGACGGCAGAACTTAAACGAAGGAAATCATCAAGTCATTGGTTCTTCAAGGAAAACAAACTGCCTAGTCCATTTAGATAAATCAAGTCCGGACAGCAAATGAGTGAATCGAATTACCCCGCGGGGGAGGAGAGGCTGAGGGAGATGAGGAGAAAGTTGGGGATTGTATGCGGCGCGATATTCACGAGAGCAGAACAGAGGACGCGGGCTATCGCAGAGACCCCGAAAGAAACACTAGTCTGCATTAGGCAATTATATCGGAGGTGGTTGTTCCGCTCCGAGCCCCTTCAAGGCACAGCCCTGGAGGATTATATGGCTTCAACTTTCTTTATCGACAGCTTTTTATGTTGCTCATATTTGTGAGGTTTTCGTCCGTTGATCTTGATTTGTCCCTTACCTGTGACCAATCTCGCATGAATTGGATGAAATATAGGCATCGTCCCCTGAGAAGGTGGAACGCTGCTCGTACACGGGGTACTTTGGAGTCAGTACGCACAGTCTGTTAGGAGCAACATTGTGCCTATTGGCTGTATAATCTGTCTCTCTATAGTCAAGGGACCCAAGATGGACATCCAGATCTACTGGTAAATCATAGGTGTCGTATCATGGGCCATAACAAATAAAAACAGAGTAGCAGAGAGTCCGAGAGACCTAAGTTAAATAAGTACATCTGTAGTTATGAAACTGGGAACTACTAGATCTACTTTATGTATATTTAGCTAGCTTTTGCCCTTGGAAGAGCTCTGCTCACAAGAAAACACATAGTTCAACTTTTGATTTAGAGTAACTATTGTGAGGTGTGGCTTACGTACTTTCCGCTCAAAATATATATCCACAACATGTTGTATACGAAGGGTTTTCCGCACATCACGACATACATATAATTGAGAAATGCTTATCGGCTTGGCTCTTGAAATCCCTTGAATGTAAAACTAAAAATGTTGTCACCATTATTGACTTGGTGAAGTATACAAAAGGGCCACCCCAAGACTACACCACACCTCTAAATGAGTTTCCTCCTATTCTCACTTTCGTATAATATCTCTAGACAACCTAGATTGTTCGAAGTATGCCTGATATAACATTTAGAATTGCAGACTAAGATTCTGCCATGTTAGTCCTGATGCACAGCCAGGAGCCACTAGCTCTCGTATTCCTCCCAACTCCGATTAGCCCCGCATTCAGGCGGCTCTGGTTATTATCCCACCTTTGGCGAGATTCCTTCAAGATTTCAGGGACTCTGTTCAATATGGACCCCCTTTCTATCATTTCAGCGGTAGAACTCTGCTTTAAGTGAGTTATAGAGCACAACCGGACTGTTCAAGCTGACTATATGTCAGATATGGCACATACCTGGTTCAGATATGCAATGACTTTGCAAACGCCAAAGATGATTATGCAGAGAAATTCCTTCGTGTGGAGACCTACTGGATGAGAACGGAGCTCCAGCTGAAGGTGGTGCAGATCATTGCTCCCGAGCTCAGTGAGAAGCACCGGAGGATTCAACATCAGACGATTGCAATGTTAGCCACCAAGTTGGAGATCGCTGTCAACAATCTTCAGTCCATCGTCAAGCGTCATCCTGTAGGGAAGCAAGAACTGGGTGTACGTCGGTGGAAGTATGTACTCACGAAGGAAAAGATCGACAGCACCATCGAGGATCTCAAAGAATGGCAATCACTATTCGATCCATCGTGGTATTTGATCATGAAGCTCGCAGACAAGAAAGTCGATTCAGGCCTGAGCACGAATAAGAAGACCTCTGCCATAGCTTTTAAAGACCCGATAGCTCCTGCGCAGTCCCTCAGAAGAGTCCTGAATCCGACAAACGCGAACGCTCCACCTGTTCGCCTCTCAGAAGAATTTCTGATTTCCATTAACCCACAAAAAATACCATTTTGCTCAGCGGAGGCAGGCCGGAGACCAGAAAATGGCCAATCGCTTATTGTGGAACGAGTCACACCTTTCTCAGGGGCCAATGTCGGGGACATCAGCAAAGATATACGAGATCTCGCCAGACGGCTGTCTGGGTCTGACGCCATGGAATTCGGTCTTCTTAGCTGCAAAGGATATATCCAACACCGCAAGCCGGGGTCTGCTCGATCCACACCAAATGCATTCACCATTATCTTCCGGATGCCCACACAGCATGTTCAACCTCGCTCTCTCCGAGGTTGCTTTCACGATATGCACCATAGCCACTCACTCTCCGACCGATTCAAGTTAGCGAACGAGCTTGCAAAAGCAGTGCATTCTGTTCACTTGTTTGGTTTTGTTCACAAAAATATACGACCAGAGACAATCCTACTCTTCGGAAGTGATGAATCCTCGATTGGATCTGCCTTCCTGATTGGATTTGACAGCTTCCGCATGGCCTCTGGTAAAACTTTACGCAAAGGCGAAGCGTCGTGGGAGCGATGCCTTTACCAACACCCCGACCGCATAGGAATGGTTTCATCCAAAGATTATATCATGCAGCACGATATCTACAGTCTTGGTGTATGCTTGCTGGAGCTGGGATTGTGGGAGTCTTTCGTATTATACGATGATTTGACTCCTGAAAGCAATGGAAATGCTCCAACGCCTACTCGCGCCTCTATTCTAGGAATGGATCGAGGGGTGTATTTCCAAAAGCATCTTCTCTTCTTGGCGCAGGGTGAACTACGGAAGCGAATGGGGACGAAATATTCCGAAGTTGTTGTCACTTGTTTGACATGTTTGGACCCTAAAAATGTTGACTTCGGAGAGGAAGCCGATTTTGAAGATGATGATGGCATTGAAGTGGGTGTGAGGTATATTGAAAAGGTGTGTTTCTTCAATCCAAATATCATGGAAAATCGATCTCTAACACATTATTGGAAAAGGTAATGATGCGACTGAATAGTATGTGCGTCTAAGTCAATAGTCCCAGTTTGATAGAATATCCTGGTAGAATGAGGGACAGAATACATGTGCAAGGGGAGAAAGATAATTATGTCCACAAGCTCTTCCCTCATCAAACTATTTGTTTGGTTTCTTCTCCTGTATCAGCTTCCCAGAGTCTAACCATGCGATCGCGCGCGGAACAACATGCCAACAAGTTTCCATCGGGGGAGAATACCAAGTGATGTGAAAAGCCATTGCCACTACCAGATTCACCAATTCTGCGAAACTCCGTGAGTTTGAAAGTCCCGTTTCCGGATTCAATAACACCCCAGAGAACAATTGTCCATCTCTTATCTTCCTGTTTTCCGTCAAAGCGCACACAGGTTGCGACAACCTTTCCGTTCGGAGAAAAAGCCAAAGCACCGACTTCGGGGTAATTTGATTCAACTTTGAACCAATGACTCGGAGATTTATTGCTTGTGTCCACCTCAAAAGGACGTAATTTTGGGTGGATGAGACCAAATAATTTTGGCCGTATAGTAGGAGTATCAAGTTCTGGGGTCTTCTTGGTTAAATCCAACACACAGATACCGGTCCCATAGGAGTATGCTAGGTATCTTCCATCCGGGGAGAACTTCGGCTCCGCTGTTTTGAAAGCTGGGGGGTTGAAGAAATGAAAAATTCCCAGGTACTAAGATCCTGGGTCCACACTCGGTAATCACCACGATACACCAGTCTGTTGCCATCGGGGGAAAAGCTTAGAGACAGATAATTGGTATTTGAATGTCTGAATTTGAACACCTTTTGGCATGAACCAAAATCCCAAACTTCGACTTTCTAGGCAGACGAACAAGCCACGAGACTGCTATCTGGTGAGAACGCAACGTACTGAACCTTACGCTCCACGTCGAAAGATCTGCGAGGGGACATTAGCCCCGTAGCGACATCCCAGATCATCAGCTTGGTCCCACCCGTGGCTAGATATTTGCCATTTGGGGACAAAGCAGCAACATGGATGTCTTTATCATAGTACATGGACGTGCAATTTGTGGTTCCGCCTAAAGTATTCCAAAGCCTTACGAGTGTGCCACCGGGAATAAGGAGCCATTCACCGTTGGGCGAGAAAGCGACCTTGCTGGATAAGTGACGTCGCGGACGGCAATCGTTTTCCACAGCTGAATGTCGACACCATGGGAGCCAATCATTTTGTCTGGGACTGCAGGTGATATCGTTAGCAAAACCGAATGAACTGGCGCCCCGGATTGTATTAGTGTTTCTCACCATCATCGATAGTCTCTCGCGCTGGAGAGGATGGTCTGGTATTCCACGACGCAAGGCTTTCCGTCATTGAAGTTATTGTGGACAAATCTTGAGTGTATGGGAGACGTTAGCCTCCGAATCCGAAGGGATCAGTTTTGACTGTATCCATTTGTTCGAAATAGCCACAGCAGCGGTCATTGGGATAGGACACATAAGTGAGGTGATAAATTCAACACTGAGTGCACTAGATCTGGAAAGACGGTCGGTGGGAAAGTGATCAGCCTGCGTCACATAGCCGACTAGAGATCCGAGGTGCTTGAATGCTATTTCTTTGGTAAGAAGCTCAAACACGATTTGACCAAGGGACCAGATATCAGAGGCAAAAGGGGTATCGCGCTCAGTCAATCTGTGCACCTCGGGAGCTATATAGCCCCATGTTCCACGTAGCGTTGTAGAAGCACTAGGGGCTTCTTCTATGCGCTTGCTGATTCCGAAGTCAGAGATCTTGATCCACCATTCATCTGGTGGCCGTAATTGTATTAAAATGTTCTGCCATAAATATGCTAGATTGTGATTGTGATCATCCAGGAAAAGAGGACTAACCGTTGGATTCAAATCTCGATGAGCAAAGCCGTTATAGTGCATCATGTTAAGACCATCGAGAATTTGATAGGCGATCTCCTGGGCCTGGCCCTCTGGCAGTGGTGGCCTCCTATGCAGATATACCCCGAGGTCGCCTAACTCGAGGTATTCCATTGCGATCAACAGATATTCCGGGCTGTCATACCAGCCTAGCGACTTGACGAAGCATCGTTCATACTATGAATTATATGTCAGTGAAACTGGCCTTCTCAGCATCCATAGATATACCGTTTATGGGACGAACCCTCGGTTGCGAGAATTTGGTAATAGCCTCGAGCTCACAACTATAATCAAAGCCGCGGAATCGACCACTGATATCAATTTGCTTCACAGCTCGAACTTTCTTATCCGATCGACCGCCCTGTGTGCATTCTTCCAGCCATACGGTTCCGTACGCACCCTTTCCGATTTCTCTTTTGTCGCTTCCAATGCTCTATCCTGGTAACAAGCCGTCGCCTTGATTTCTGTTCAGGTTCGTTGTACGTATGGACGGTTTCGACAGTGCAATCGGGTAGGTAGTATGTTTCCAGCTTGGAATCACGAACCAAATCTGGGACGTTGGCCATCTAGCCGTGATGTAGAAGCAGAGATTCAGGGCCAAGCGGGGTTATCAGCCTCCGTCAGGTGACATTCTTCACGGTCGGAGTGGGATCCGATGGTTCGTGGCCAAAGCGATAGGGAACCTTGGAAGGTGATAGGCCACGGGCGGGAACGGGATGCCAATGGATCCATGGGAGCTGTTCAGGACTATATTTAAGCTCAAAATAAATATCAATATCGCCCATGGACCTTTGTAGAAATTATGTTGAAAATAATGATTCGATTATGCACTAGAATATGTAAACAATCCATTGTTGTGATAATGATAGACTTTACTAGAGCTCCGGAAATTCCTCCTAGACTTTAACGTACTATGCATGGTACATAATATCGCGAAGGCAAGATTCTGTATACGGTACGGAGTATATTTTCTTCTGCTACCTGCGACTACAAACTGTAGCCTCAGGTCACATTGAAGCAATCTGGGTAGCCTGCAACCTTGGCGTGCTTGCCAACTCAATAGCGCGGATCACCCGTAAGTGATGTTTTTGTCACACAAGAACTACTTAATTTAGACCCCCTTACAACCTGGATGCATTCATATGGCAACCTCAGCCATTCGAGTCCTTGGCGTGGCCAATGAGGATTTTAAATTAAAGAATGCATGGCAATTACCGGTTCTTAAGATTTGACGAATTTGGCCGAGCTGCAGCCGCACAGATGATACCCTGCAGGACAATGTTTTGGTCTCCCCTTTTCTGTGCCCGGAATGCCAAACAAGAAATGAAACGTTGAAAAGACGAATGTCCCCATTTTTCAATCGTGTCGGTCATCCATTCAATTTCACCCAGCCGACATCAATGGAGAAGATATCAAGTGATCCTCCACAGCAGGAACTCTTAAATGATGCACCCGATGAAGGGGATTCACCATCTCGCCCTCCGGCCAGCACCTGGACGGTGGTCTCTCTCACTATTGCGCTCTGTCTAGGCATTCTTTGCATGTCGTTGGTAAGTGAAAGTCTGTAGACAGCACTCAACGGCCAAAACAACGGTCCATTTAAGGCTGACTTGTCCAGGATGTCACAATTATCACAACCGCAATTCCTCGCATCGCCGATCAGTTTGACTCACTAAGCGACGTGGGTTGGTACGGCAGTTCCTTTCTCCTTACAAATTGTGCCACTACCCTCGCCTTTGGCAAATTATATACATTTTACTCCACAAAATGGGTATATCTTTCGGCCCTCTTTCTATTTGAAGTCGGTTCCCTCATTTGTGGAGCTACTCCTAACTCTCTTGGTTTGATTCTGGGTCGATGCATTGCAGGCGTGGGTGCTGGGGGTATCTTCTCAGGGAGTCTCTTGATTATCGCCCAGACTGTTCCTCTGCATCGTCGCCCAATCTTCACGGCCTTACTTGGTGCTATGTACGGCATTGCTAGTGTCGCTGGTCCTCCGTAAGCTGAACCCGTTTCTTTTTCCCCCCTGTCTTCTAACTGGACTAGATTGGGAGGCGCGTTGACAGATCATGTCTCTTGGCGTTGGTGCTTCTACATCAACTTGCCCCTCGGTGCTGTCACTACTATCTTCGTCCTGCTTTTCTTCCATGCCCCTGATCCAGTCAAAAGACGCCCTGGCTTCCGCAAAATGCTGGGCGAATTGGATCCTCTGGGCACGTTCTTCTTCCTACCTGCCATCATTTGTCTTCTTCTGGCCCTCCAATGGGGTGGTGCCCATTACGCTTGGAATAACCCCCGGATCATTGCTCTGTTCGTGCTCAGCGGTGTTCTCCTGATCGCCTTTGTGGCTGTTCAGATCTACCAGAATGAGAAGGCCACACTTCCACCGCGTATCGTCTGCAATCGAAACATCTGGTCGGCAGCCTGGTTTTCCATTACACTTAATGGTGCTTACTTTACCTTCGCTTACTATGTATGTCGAGCCCCAAGCAGTTCCGTGCTCGCTAAAGCTAACTTTCTAGCTTCCTATTTGGTTCCAGGCAATCAAGGCGGCGTCGGCCACCAAATCAGGGATAATGAACTTGCCGAGTATTATCGCAGTCGTTATTGTCTCTGTTGTATCCGGTACTCTCGTCACCATATTCGGCTATTACAATCCCATCATGATCATGGCCTCTATCACATTATCAGTTGGGGCCGGTCTACTCAGTACGCTGGATGTAGACTCGGGAAGTGGCGAATGGATCGGCTACCAGATTCTAATGGGAATGGGTGTTGGTTTTGGAATGCAACAACCGTTTATACTGGTGCAAAATGTGCTAGCCGATGAAGACGTCCCCATTGGGACAGCCGTGGCGACATTTGCCCAGACCCTGGGAGGTGCAATCTTTATTTCTGTGGGTCAAAATGTCTTCCAGAACCAATTCAAGAAAGCTATGCACTTGGAAGATCCCTCGGTGGATATCGCCAAGATTCTCGCGGCTGGTACGACGACCTTTCGCAAGAAGCTTCCAGTTGAGCAGCTGCCAGCTGTTCTTCGGTCTTACAATACCGCTATTACCCAGGCATTTTACGTGGGCGTGGCTTTGGCAGCGCTTTCTATTTTAGGCACGATCGCGTTGGAATGGAAGTCCGTCAAGAAGCCGAGAGACACTACACTCGCAACCAACAGTGATGAGGCGAGTTGAGTCTGGCTGTGATTTAGGTGTATATAGTAGAGCTAAACGATAGATTTGCGTGCTTCCAAATGCTAGTTTCGGGGGTCACATATGTATTGGATTTCAGGCCGCGCTCCATCGACTTCCCTTTACGTTTTAGGTCTCCTATATTTCAACACTACAATAATATAACATATTGTACTTCGTCATGATAGTATATACTAGCTGTTAGCATATTCAAACACCTCCGATAGATCATTGTATGCACATCAACTCCGCTCGACTTAGAAATTCCCTCCATATGGACACTGCCACACCATTTTATACATCTGGTTTCATTACCAGTCGTTCGACCTCATCCAGTCCTGTCAATTTCCTGAGCGTGCTATCAAGTGTACCAAATGGTAGCATACTCCCAAACCGCACCAGCCAAGCTTGGTTGCCCCTCCAAACATTAGGGGCGCTGCTATTCAGAACGTCCGTCACGACAAGCTTTGCCCATTGCTGGGCTGGCATACCAGAATCCTCGAAAATGGTTCCCCGAATCGTGCGTTCTACCACTTCCTTCGCCTTTTCATATATCGATCCAGCTGGCAAAGAAACGGTGTCCTCCTTTCGTTGATTCTTTTGGAAATTCGATTCGACAATGCCTGTTTTGAGATCTACAACCCTGATACCAAAGGGTTTGAGCTCTAGTCGCTCTGCATCCGAAAAAGATGCCAATGCAGCCTTCGAGGCATTGTATGCAGATTGAAAAGGAGCTGAACACAAGGAAGCAACTGACGTGTGGTTGACAATCATTCCTTTTGATTTCAGAAGCAACGGCAGGAACGCTTGGGTGACAGCTAAGGTGGACCAGACATTAAGGTCGAATATTTTCTTGGCCTCTGAAATTGAAATGTCTGATACTGGCATACTGTAGCCACCACCGGCATTATTGACTAGGATATCTAGTTCAGGTACGTTGCTAAGACACTCAGCAATTGAACTTTCCGACTGCACGTCCAAGCGAAGTGTCTTAATGCCTTGCGATGTCACTCCTGACATTTTTGAAGGGTTTCGGGCTGTGGCGTATACTTCCAGACCAGCGTCATGGAAGGCGATCGCGAGAGCCGCCCCGAGACCGCCATCCGAACAACCAGTTATGAGGACTTTTCGAGTGGGCGACATGAGCGAAACTGTAGCAGAATTCGGGTTTTAGTTGTTTAATGGACATTGACAGGAAAACTTAGGGGTTACGAAATGGCAACATGATACAACAAAAGAGAAGACCCATTTATATTTGGGGTGTCGTGACGTCAACCGAGCTGAGTAGATTATGTGTAGCCAATTGACCTATGGATGAGCGAACCAATATTTGAGCGAACCTTTTAAAGCAGAATCTAGAATTCAAGTGAGTCTATCATTAAATATAAGAGATAGGTGTTGGTGAAGAGCCGTTGTTAAAGGCGATATGTGTAAACAGTAGGGCTCGGCACCGCATTAACTAGATCAATCAAGAAGAACAATGAGAACCAACGTACTACTGCTAAGAGAAAACCAGCCGAAATAGAGAGAAAGACTTCGAGCACTCCCATAAAGCGGCAGCACCCCGGAAAATCGGGGCAGCCTATGGTTCGGTACATAGAGTAAGATATAATGGACGTAAAGTACAACCATATCTAGGTGTGCTGGGATAAGGCCAAAATTAGGCCTTCTGTCGAGACCTAAGCATGAACAGTAGTGAATAGCTACATCTTTAGTGCCAATTTTAAATCATCAGCCCAATCCCATGGAACAATTTCGGTCATAAACCCCGGCGTTATTCATCACTTCCAGGCTCCCATCTACGGCCTGGCCTCTCCCTCTCTCTTGGCATAGCTAAGTCGCGAGGGTGATTTGTCACAGGGAATGTCTTGGGTACACTGGGCTAATGTGCTAGCCAGGCAATTTGCTTTGCCCTTTTAACCTCCACAAATAAAGCCCACTAGCGACCTTCAGGGAACATGGAATTTCCTTGGCAAGCATTGGACTTTGACTCAGCATTTCCTCAAAAGGTAAAAGAGCAATCTGCATTGACCTTTACTCGTGTGAGCCGAGTCATGTACCAACGGATGAAACCCTGCGGAGTACATGTAAGTCCCTTGCATAATGTGACATGTCTACTTTGTGCATTCCAACGTAAGACTGCGTCTCTGTACCCCGTACGGAGTACGTAGCACGAGGCCACGGAGCCTGTTCAGCCGCACCACATACCAAGCGGGACTTTTACCGTGACTGCATGAGACACGTCCTCTCGTTCAGCTGAAAAGTATAAACATGGATTATTGGCATTGGAATAGAGTACAGGGCCCGACTTTGCATTCTATGACATTTGGACAATACTCAACATCTCCGACTGACATCCATTCTGGACAAACACTCATACTACCATACCACAATGACAGTATCTTCCAATGTTGAGGCTCTCAAGACCTCTGTGCCTGCGGTCGCACAAATGGCAGATATGCCCCATCGTACGCTCAGTAAGTCGATGACCTTTGCGAATCTGGATCAATACCAATACTGGCATGCCGTCGGTCCAATGCTGGGGAGGATGCTCTCCAACGGCAACTACAGCATCCATCAGCAATATGAATATCTTTGCCTCTTCGCGCATGTTATAATCCCAAAGCTGGGACCATTCCCTGGCGGAAGAAACATATACAAATGTCTGCTAGGAGGCACCGGCTCCGTGGAGCTCAGTCAGAATGTCCAGAAACTAAGCCTGACTGCACGCGTTGCATTTGAGCCTACAAGCTACATCGCCAGCACAGGAGTTGACCCTCTCAACAGGCACACGGTCCACGCTACTTTAGCTGAGCTGAGGGCTATCGGGTCTGCCTCTGTTGACATGGAGCTGCATCAAATGCTGGTCAACGAGCTGACTTTGACGGACCGCGAGGAAAAGCTCATGTCTCCGGAACAAATCTCAGGAACTGCGTGGAAGACGCAAATTCTACTTGCTTTGGACTTGGGACAGACCGGTATCACGGTCAAGGAGTATTTCTACCCAGCACTTAAAGCCTCCGTGATAGGAAAAAGTGTGGCCGAGCTGTGCTTTTCTGCTATTCAAAAAGTGGACACGCAAGGGGTTTTCGAAGCTGCGAGCAAGGCCATTGAGACCTATATGCAAACCCAGAGCCAGACAGACCTCTACTTCTTGTCCTGCGATCTGGTCGATCCAGCAAGCACTCGCATCAAGCTTTATCTGATGGAGCTAGATATGAGATTGGCAAAGGTTGAAGAGCACTGGACAATGGGCGGCAAGCTGAGTGACGAAGAGACATTGCTCGGACTGAAAATGTTGCGAGAGTTGTGGGTGGAGTTTGGGATTATTGAAGGAATGCGGAATGAGCCGGAGCGGCCATCGCTGCCTGGAGATCCCGACACTATTGTGCCCTTCATCATGAATTACGAGATAAATCCCGGCGAGGCATTGCCAAAGCCCAAGTTTTACTTCCCCTTGGTTGGCATTTCGGAGCTGAAAATCGCCAATGTGCTCACTGCTTTCTTCGAACGCTACGATATGCCTGAGCAGGCCGCAGTGTATCGTGATAATCTGCAGACATACTAGTGAGTTACCTCTTTAGACACAAATATGTGCATTGCCTTTTGCTAACTTGACTTGTGTGATACCAGCCCCAGCAAGGACTTGGCTGTCGCAACGGATCATCAGGCATGGCTGTCCTTTTCGTACACCAAGAAGAAAGGACCGTACCTTACCATGTACTATCATTAGTAGGTTGCAACACGTCAGCGTGGGCTCGATAGTATTTCTTTGGGAAGCATGAATGCATGGAGAGTTTGTTTATATGTGATTTAGGAAATCTCAGCTAGCCAGAATGGAGAAGACTGATGTCCTATGGAACTATCTTTCGCTTGTGATAAATCTACCTGTAATAATTATTTAAATATGAAAACCCAATTGTTTCTCTTTGTGTGTTGAAGGTAACTAAGATAGGGATCGGCAATTCCAAAGCTATAAAAACTATAGGGACTGCTACCGCCTGGCTGGTTGTATAGCCATTTCCCGCTAAGATCCCTTCTGCCCAGTTGCAAAAACAGCAGTCCACTTCTGTGGCACCAGGCCACTCGCTCCATATGTTTCATTCAGGTGGCGCTGAAGAGCTGGCAGGATATCCTGTTCGTGCTTATCTCTTTGCTCCTGATTCCACCATTTACTGACAATGATCGGGATCACCGGCTGTGCGATCTTGTACAAATCCTCGATACTTGTTTCAAATTCCTTCGCGATTGTCGTGACTTGGACTTTCTGAAATCCTGCTTCCTCGAATCTAGACTGAACATAGTCCTCAGAATCCCATCCTGGGTTCATGCAGGACATGAATTCCTTGGTGGTTGGGAATGGTAGATCAGCAGGGATTGTGGCAACAGCGGCCTCAACAATGGCAAGCCATTCGGCTACGATACGTTAGAATTTGCCTTGATGATAGAGGGGGCAAGACAAACTTCGCTGCCAAGTTGAGATAGTAAGCGTTCCCTCTGGCTGGAGAATCCTCATGACCTCTATTCATGTAGATGAGTTTTCCATTGAGCACATATTGGTTATCAGTGAGCTAACCTTTCATTGCAGCATAGGTATCTGGAAAGGAGGTGAAAGCTAAATGAAGCGCAGTTTTAGCATGAGTATTTTGAGGTCGAAATTAAAGCATTCTCATATTTTACATACCAAGGGCCGCAAACACGTGGGTATAATGTCCAGTGGGAAGCTCCGTGCTTTGCGCATCCACCACCTTGGCAGTTGAATTATCCCATCCTTTCTCCAAAATCTTTCGTTTCACATGGCCGGTGAGCTCAGTTGAGATGTCACCACATGTCAGTTCCCAGCCTTGTGACTGGGAATCCAACATGTCATGGAGGGCATCCGCGACAACGCCCGTTCCGCAGGCGAGATCCAGAATTGTCAAAGGCCGTAGACTAGACTCACTTAACCCCGAGAGCTTTATCAAATCCTGGGTAAAATAGCGGGTAATCTTTTCGGCGATCATATAGGTCTCTAGGATTCCCTTGCCCGCGTAGAGCTCTGTGAAGTTGGTGGCGCGAGTCATGATGAGAATGATGTGCTGATTGATTCAAAAATTTCAGCAATATGCGTTGGTTAAAATTTGGAGAAATCAATGGAATGAAAATGTCTTAAATGATTTATAAGGTGTCGATGCACTTTCCTAATAGGGCAGTCCTAGTGGACACTCATAGTTCTACATTCTTCAGCTCTATACTACCGTACAGGGTACCTATTCCATGCAATGCATCAGAAAAAACAAAATCCGAAGTACATATGCATGGTTACCACTCATCTCAATTTAGACTGTTTCTCGATCTAGACTAGACCGCTATAGCATCCTGCATACCTTTGCATTGCATGCCATGAGTCACAAGATCGTGGGTTCCCCATTCCAAGTGTTTCATATTGCGTAAATATCTCCAAAATGACAAATGTCACAGCTCATAGTGCTGCAGTGTTCTTATTCAGTGGCGCAGTCTAGCCCTGTAGATCATTTGAAGTATCACCCCCACAAATCCGGATTTCTCGCTTGGGAGGACCTACCCATGCTTTGATATAGTGTGCTCAACAAGTTGGCTTATTCAACGACAAATAACCACTACTCAACAATGGATGTCATTGCTAAGTTTCCGCTTTCCTCCTCTGGGACAGGATGTGCAGTTTCGCTGCTTATATTTGCAGTTATCCTCCTGTTTGTCTTTCACAGAGGCCAGTCATTCACCACCATAAACTCGCACTCGTGGGATGCTTTTCGTAGCAAAGCAAAGCGAGAATTCGAATCAAATGCAGAGGGCCTCATCAAGAATGGATTACGAAAGGTCAGTTTAAACCCAATGTATTTCATATCACAAATGATAATTACTGACACCCACAGGGACTGTCACCCTTTCAATTGGTAACTAATATGGGCACCTATCTGATCTTTCCAGACCGATATGCCGAGGAACTGAGGAATGATGAAAGGTTTAGTGCCTATGAGGCATTAAATGATGTATGATTGCTTGCCTTTTTGTCCCACGTTCATTATGCATAGTTGCCTGACTCTGTGACCTGCAGGTGATCCTGCTGGAACTTCCGGGCTTTGAGACTATGTTCCAGGGCTCATTGCATAACCATGTATCCGCTACTGCAATACACGCCATGAATAGGGAGCTAGGTAAGCGGATTGGGCCCTTGAATATTGTCTTCATGCACAATTAATACCCATGCCACAGTCCACTTAACTCGTCCGCTCTCAGAAGAAGCAGACCAGTGCCTTAAAGCGCAATGGACCGAAAGTTCCGGTATGTTTCAAGTATGCACTGACGCGGGCTGACTGCGGGGTCTGATGGATTACAGAATGGCATACTGTTTCAATCCACGAGACTGTCTTGGCCTTGGTTGCCCAGATGACCACGCGTGCATTTGTCGGATCTGAGCTCTGTCGTAAGGCCGAATGGCTCGATATCGCCATCAGCTTTACAATTAATCGAGCTATTGCCGTCCAGGCAATCCAGGCTTGGCCATGGTTCCTACAACCTGTTGTCCACTGGTTCTTGCCCACCTGCAAGGCTGTTCGCCGCCAGATTCAGCTAGCTCGAGAGATCTTGATGCCAGTTCTAGAGCGCGAACGTCAGACTATTCACAGTAATGACTCGTCCACCGACCGGGTATTCTCCACATTAAAATTTATTGATGAGTATGCTCAAGGGTCTCGCTATGATGCCACCATGGCCCAGCTAAGACTGACCGCTGTGTCTGTCTTGACCACTTCAGACATGGTGGAGAAGGTACTGGCAAGACTTTGCGAACATCCAGAGCTAGTTCAGGCGCTCCGCGAGGAAATAATCTCGGTCTTCGAAAATAGTCCGTTGCACCACAAGTCCCTACTACGACTGACACTTATGGAGAGTGTTATGAAAGAAAGTCAGCGGCTTGAACCTGCTACACTCAGTGCGTTGTTTCTTTCGTTCCCTTTCTCACTTTCGGTTTGAATACTCGATCTATCTTGCTGACGAATTGGCTTCTTCAGTATCCATGTTCCGTGTGGCCAAAAGCAAAGTCACCTTGCAAGATGGCACAACTATCCCTAAGGGTACCAGTCTTGCCTTTGCGAACGACCTTCGGCTGGATCCCCTTATGTATCCCGATCCCGAAACCTTCGATGGTTATCGATTCGAAAGAATGAGGAAAGTCCCGGAGCAGGCTAATCTTGCCCCATTTACCAAGACAAGGGCTAGCCACTTGGCTTTCGGTCATGGGAAACATGCTTGTCCAGGGCGATTCCTTTCTTGTGATGAAGCTAAATTGATTCTTTGTCATATTTTGCTGAAGTACGACTTCGAAGCAGTAGATGGGCGCGTCCCGGATCTGCATACTCGTGGCATGTTTATCCAGAGGGATGCGGGAGGAATGCTCTCGGTGAGGAGACGCCAGGAGGAAGTCATACTGTGATAATCGTCATATCTAAATTTGTTTAACGAATGCAGAAGTTTCTTAAATCATCGAAAGTGTTTGCCGTCAGTCTATGGCGGCAATACCTTTAGAAACTTATCGTCATATCTCAATAAGTGGATGAGAGATAAACCGTATAGAAAGAGTACAAGAATGTATATTTGTTACTGTCAAAATATATCCAAAATTCCATCAGAATAGATTACTATGTTACTTGAAACCTAACCTAGAGTTTCGCTAGCATGTCTAGAGGGACAACGTAAAAGTCTTCAACCCGAAATTTATGTTTGACCAGGCAATGAATCTCGCTTGTAGAATGCAAGACCAAGAGTATACGAATCCTATCAAGAATTTCACAAGGTACATCAAGCCTGTGCGGGTTTCTTGTAATCGTGCACCACCTGGTACTTGCTGTCCGATGGGATATTTCGCGGTCGATACCCCGTTATATCCCGAACCGCGCTCATCGCAGCTGGGAACTGCTCGTAAACATCGCGGTGGACGTCGTAGCCAAAGATCCACTCAGGACGAGGGAACTTCATCATAGACGGATTCTTCTCGATAGCCTCCCAGTCTGGATCCCGCATCTGACTATAAATTGCATTCCCACTCTCTTGGATAATGCTAGTGCGCTGGTAGCGAATCTTTTCCACTACCTGGAGGGCTAGTTTTACTCGGCTTTTGCCAGCCAGTTCCAGACAAATGGCTAAAGTAGCCGCATCCTCGACAGACTGACCACCACCCTGTCCTGCAATTGCGGACATCGCATGAGCTGCATCGCCAATGACCATAATGCGCCCACCTCGAGAACCCCAAGTCGGTAGGGGATCACGAGAGATGATTTTGTAGTCCGCGAGCTTTTCACTAGGCGTGTGTCGCAGAACAGCAGCCACGCGAGAGTAAGCGGGCCAGTCCTTGAGTAGAGCAAGCGCATCTTCAACCCGGGCATCGGTGATATTTTCCCAGGACTCGTCAGCCTTCTCGTGATTCTAATGATCCCAAACGCACGTCAGCTTTGCTTCAGGTGCTCGAAGTTGCGAGTAAGACGCACCCGATGCCAGACCTGCCAAATCACATTCTGGCCGCGTTTGCCAGTTGCCAACGTCAACCCGAGACCGCCAGTCGTTATGTACCTTCGCATACGGTCCTGCACCCCCGCCTCCTCCAGGATCCATTGAGCCTCTGGATCCCCCGCAAGCAAGTTGGCACTAAAGCACGCCCGAAACGCAGCTAGCCCAGAGGGCTCGGGGGCGATCTGATATCCGAGCACATAATCTCGTGTCTTGCTGTGCACGCCGTCCGCGCCAATGACACAATCGGCTGCGAGTCGTTGCTCATCATTGACAGTCACCCCAGCTTGACTCTCATCCTCCCAGTATTCGGTGACGGCCGAGCCAAAGCGCAAATCGATGCCCAGAGATTTGGCGTGTTCGTATAATCCATGGACCAACGTTCCGCGGTGGATGATCATGCCCTCACCTACACCATACCCATCCATGGAGTCCAAAGCGTATAGCTTCCCCGCGGGGTCTAGAATCTCCATGGCTGCCACATCGTCGGATTGTGAGACGAGCTGACGCAGGACCTCGCCATTGTCCCAGCTTTGTAGAACTTTTGTCGCATTGCTCCCCAGAGCGATACTATCTCCTACTGCAGTCAATACATGACCCATGGACATTCAACTTCATATTGCAGAGCGTACCGAGTACCCTAATCTCAGGAGATCTCTCAAGGCCAACTACCACATGTCCCTTGTAATGGCATTCAATGGCAGCCACCAGACCAGCAATCCCGAGCCCGACGATAATCACTTTGATTCCACTGGAACGGGGTACAGCCACTCCATTGGGGCCAACGCCTTGTGTGACAGTCATCGTAATGCACTTGGTTGCAGTGTTAGCTTTGTGGCTTCGGGTTAGTCTCTCCAACACGAACGACAAGATCTCTTTTTATGGCTACTCAGCCGTCGATCCACACTACAGAAAGCTAGAGCTAGACTACTACCTGGGTATTGTGGGCTAGATGGCGGGCTCGTGCCCGCATTCCTCTTCCTGCGCTTGTCATGAGCAAAGCCTGCTTCAAACATCGACCAATGCGTTCCAATCACATCGATGCATCATGTGTTGCAGTAATAATTGAATCAGGTATCTGGCACGCCAGCACAGCACTGAAAAATGAGAGCGTGGAATCAATCGCCACAATTTTGGCCTCTGATGTGCTAGTGGCATTCAAGCAAGGGGGCCCGAGAAATGCTGCGAAGCATCGGAATATGTAGGCTCATGTAGGATAATTACATGCAATGTATAATGCATTGTAATATACGAATGCGAAAAGGCCTTATATGTAACTAGTTTCAATATAGTACTTAGTCAAAGCTAACGAGTCGGGAGCGCTCCCGGTAGTCGGATCTCACGGGTCAGCCTAATGCAAGGGGGATTTGCCCACGGGGTGTTCATGCAGTGGGAAAATCCCTACGGAGTACAGGCGATCGGATGCGACCTCGTATAGACTGCATTTCAGCTTATTTCAAATCAGAAATCACACGAGGCCGCGGATAATATATCCAAAGAATGTGGATCTGCAAAGACTAGAGGCTGAGCGACCCTTCACTGGTCAAGAATAACTTTAGTTCAACATTAATGTCCACTAGTGCAAGGTGAAGCACATGAACTTGCCTATGGAGTAATCTCTAACAATTTTGAGTCCCGATATAATTTCAATAAGCTAGGTATTGTTTCCTGTTTCTTTCTCCTACAGCATGTGCGTAAGCGAAAACGAGAGACCAAGGGGATATCACGCGGTTACGCGTGGGGTGCGTCCAGTCTCATTGAGTATGATCTGCAGCTAATAGCACCTCAAAATTTTGAGGCAAGCTTTTGAAGATACCAGTACTTCGCCCTGTTCATTTAATTCATTTAACTATCACAAAATTTGACTTGTGAACGCAGGTGGGAACCCCATTGCCTACAAGGGTACGGCACGAACGAAATACTGTGACAAAATTCCAACTTGAGATTTAATAGAGAACCGAGGAAAATGAGTTCAAAGAATAAATCGGTGTATTTTGACTAGCTAGATCTAATTTTAACCTACTACAATGGAAAATACAGCATATACTATAGCGCCTCCAAAATAATCTCCTGCTCGGCAACCTTGAACCAAGCTTCGCCTCGTTTCTGAGGGCCCTTCTCATCCACAGCAGAATGCCCAGGGGATTTCAGCTCATAATTCTCGACAGTGTATGCAACCAATACCTTGAGAATCGTGTCTGCCAACGCCTGTGCAATACACTGACGAGGCCCAAACCCAAAACGCCAAAAGCGATACCGAAAGCTGGACCTGGATTCCTCTAAAAACCGGCCTGGACGAAACGCCAGTTTATCAGAGCCCCACGTGTCATCCCAAATATTCAAGGCATTGGTGTCGACTACCATGAAAGTTCCCCGGGGAATGCGGTATCCACCCACATCACGGTCAGTGGGCATCGATTGCGCGTATGTGTAATTGGTGACTGGCTTCAACCTTGCAGATTCATTGATGCAGCTCGCCAGCAGAGTTGAGTTGCTAGCAATGTATCTTACCCAGGAACCTGCAGTTGTGTCGGACCGGGTTTGTGATATCTCATGTCTCAGCTCGCTCTGGAGACCTGCATTCTCGGCCAGGAATTGTGGAATCCAGGAGAAGCTCCCAATTGTCACGTCAATGTTGGCAAACAGGGCTTCGTCCAATGTGTGCATTAGCTCCGTTGATGTAATTTGACCTTGATCGACAGCCATATACAAGGTAACAATGGCACACGTAGAGGCGTCGTCGCGATCTTTTGCATATTCATACGCCTTCCGATTGAAATCGGCCCAGCGAGTGTGGAAGACGTGCAGCTTTTTCCTTATGGCGGGGTAAAATATCTTGCTGACAGAGAAGAGTGACAATCCCCCCTTGAAAGCATATTGAAACACATCAGTGCGCAGATCGGTAATGAGCAAGAGTTCCTCTGTCATCTCCGGGGACAGGTTTCCATATAAAAGGTCGCTAATGACCCAGAAAGGCAGAAGCTTAAGATCCTCAGCGGGCTTGATTCGCAGTGAGCTCCCGCCTTCATACTGCTTGTATAGCTCAGAAAAATGGCGGGAAATGCGGGACTGGACAAAGGGGACGTATGTCGTGGGCCTTTGGGTAAATGGTGGGGAAACCACAGCATGGACTCGTTTCCAATGTCCTTGACTGATGAGTCCCACACCATCGCCTACTAGCTCGCCCATCACCCATCCACCATTCAGGTTTGAAGCCTTGTAGTGGTTGCCAGAGTCTTTGAAGACCGTCTTGATCTCATCCGCGCGGGTCAAGATACTGTCATTTCGTTTAGCTTGGGTATTCCATCATAGGAGATGGTGCTTACATTTCTGGTGTAAGGCCAACCCATATACGATAGACCGGGCCATATTTCTCGGCCCACTGACGTGAGACGTTCTCTCCGTCCAGAAACTTGATACTCCCTCCACCATCTGGAAACCTGTATGGGCAAGTTGGGATGGGTGTTGAGCCATCTGTCGAATAAACTGGGTACCACCAGAGCAAAAGTCTCTATATGGATAGAAGAATGAACAATGGTCAGCGGGGTGATGTTGATTTGATGTATCTTCGGGGTATTACCGACATTGATTATGTAGGAAACTACTCGATTTGACCAAGTATCTGGTGTAAAGGCGTGCCACAAAGTGACTAGAAGTGATACAACTACCAACTGCAGCGTAAGAAGGATGTAACCTGACATTATGTGGAGCTGACGTTGGAAAGAAACAGAAGCAATGAGCGGAGTATTTGAATGACGAGCTTGAACCGAATTTGTAATGGACTCCATGGCTGCAATTACCCCAATAGGTACCTCCGATGCATACGACCGCAGCTCCCACATGTGCGGCTGACGCTTCGGAGCAACTTCACCAAGTGACCTGAATCTTACATATGCGGGTTTAGTGTTGATCAGCAAGACGAACCTACATGGTCGCATTGCATTGATCGGAGCTACCGCGTGGTGAACATGATATGCAAGGACTAGTGGGGATAGTCGTAGGTGTAGCCACGCACGAAGAATACCGAATCACCGGGTGCTAGGTTCATCTTGGCAGCTATAACGACATTCTTGTTGCTGACGGCCCATGCTTGGCTATTTTTGTGGATATATCGGGAGGAGTCATTTGGGCTGAAGTACGAATAATCCATGTATTCATTACCGTGAAGGAACCCTCGTATTTCAAGAGGAAGACTAGCCTTTTAATACTTGCCTACCATCGCCATGGGTTCTTATCGTGATCATCATACTATTTCTGTTCCTTTGGACAAGGAAGTGGAAGCAGCATGGACTGATAATGGCGAAGGGTTGCTGCAACCTCATCATCTCAAGGCATCTTGGGCCTTGTTGCTTGGCAGACTTTCAGAAACACAAACGACAACATTTGCTGTATTGGAACAACTCGCAGTCCCACCGAGCGATGCCTGTTCAAGTTTAGTGGCTTTAGATCCGCATTTGGAGACCTGGGAGATATCAGACAGCCAGGATGGTCTCTTGGTGGATGCAGCGAAGGAAAGGCACAGAGCGCCTCTTTCAGGAACACAAGCCTCGACAGGTGTGGTCATCAGGTGGCGTGATGAACGGAACGGCCCGATCTTGGTAAGTATGAGTCCATAATGCGTTATTCACACAATAAGCTAATACAGTGGCAGTTTCCCTGCGCATTATTCAATACAATAATTGTTCTGGACTGCAGTGTATCACCCGTGCAAGTCTCCATGGAATACTCAAGAAAATCTCTCACTGTGAACCAAGCATGGTCACAATTAACGGCAATGGTTCACATCCTGGGCCAAATAGTTATGAGGTCAGGGGTATCACTGCGAGAGGTGGATTTCCTAGGTTCATATAGCACTGGGTTGATCCGGCAATGGAATAACCCGTACTCACTCGCACGACCGCAAGTGTGCATTCATACCTTGATCCTAGAACATTGCCGAAGCCAACCCGATGCCGAGGCGCTGTGTGCTTGGGATGGTTCCATCACATATGCGGAGCTTGATAAATTCTCACTCGCAGTCGGACTCCAGCTGCTATCACTTGGTGTTGGCCCAGAGTCAGTGGTGCCGCTCTACTTCGAAAAGTCGCGCTGGACGGTGGTCACCATTCTGGGGGTGCTGAGGGTGGGAGCTGCTTTTGTTCTCCTCGATCCCTCTCATCCTGTGGCTCGTCTGGTCGAGATTTGTTCGGAAGTGCAGGCAACAGTTGCCATCGTATCGGAGTCATTGCAGGAACTGGGTCAGCAGCTGGGCCCTCGAGTTATCATGGTCCTCGACACAATCAAGAATTACGTGGAAACAGGAACAAATACATTTACCACATCTGTCAAGCCGTCAAATGCCGCATACGTCGCTTTTACTTCTGGCTCCACCGGAAAGCCCAAAGGGATTGTGATTGAACATCAGTGCTTCGTTGCAAATACGCTGGCTCAGAACGCAGTGCAGAATATCAATATCCAAACACGGGCATTTCAGTTCGCCTCCTATGGGTTTGATAGCAGCATTCTTGAGACACTCATGACTTTGGTGGCGGGTGGTTGTGTCTGTATACCCTCGGAGCAGCAGCGACTCAACGGTCTGGCAGATGCTATCCGTGGGCTACGAGCCAACTGGCTCGAGCTGACTCCATCTGTGGCACGGTTCATCAATCCTGAAGAGGTTCCCGACGTGCGATCTGTCTTGCTTGTCGGTGAGCCAATGGCTCAAGACCACATCAAACAATGGTCGGGGACCGGGAAGGTCCAACTCCTCAACGCATATGGCCCCGCCGAGTGTAGTGTGGTGACCACTGTACAGCCCCGTGTGCAACTGGAAGATCCCAACAATATTGGCCGTTCATATAGCAGTCACTGTTGGATTGCCAACCCTCACGATCACAATCAGTTAGAGCCCCTGGGTGCGGTGGGGGAATTACTTATCAGCGGACCAATCGTAGCCCGAGGCTATCTCAACCAGCCCCAGAGGTCTTTCATCTCCAACCCCCGCTGGGCGACGCGATTCGGGATTCCTCCAAGTGAACGCGTTTATAAAACCGGAGATCTTGTGCGATATAACCTCGAGGATGGCACTTTGCGATACGTTGGGCGCAAAGACCGGGAGGTCAAAATACATGGGCAACGTGTGGACCTGCAAGAAATTGAACAACACGCTTCCCAATTTCAGAAAGGAATACTTGCAGTCGCCGATGTAATTCACTTAAACGGTAGCAGCGCAGGGAAACTCCTTACTCTGTTTATCGCGACTGCAGATAATGACGAGACTCGCATGACGAAGGAAATCTTCGTCGTCCCCATGAATGACACCCTCCTCGATTTGGGGACCGGCATCAAGCAATGGCTTCGTGATCGTCTACCGCCGTACATGATCCCAACCAAGTTGATTTTCGTCAATCGCTTTCCTCTCACGAGAACTGGCAAACTCGATCGACGGGCCTTGGTAGATCTTGGAGCAGCATCCAGTGAGTCGCCGTCTGTAAAGTACCCGTCAAATCAGCGCGATAGAGAAGATATCGAGATGGATCCAGAACTTTTCGCCAGGGAAGGTACCTTGTGTTCAGTTTTTTCTGAAGTGTTGGGTTGCCTGGAAAGAAACATCGGTGCCCAAGACGGTTTTTACGACATGGGAGGGAATTCATTAGCTGCTATCGAGCTGGTAGCATGTGCACGCAAGCGTGGTCTGGAGATCACGGTGGCAGATGTCATCCGTCTTCAGAATCCACGCGATATTGCGCGATGTACCGTGGAAAGCAAAGACGTTCACGAGATCTCCCAATTCTCTCTTCTCGTGAATACCCAACAGAGCCTATCCACCGCCACTGCCCAGTGTGCCATTGAGAGAGAAATGATTGAGGATATTTACCCCTGTACCCCACTGCAAGAGGGCCTCATGCATCTGTCTGTCAAGAATCCGGGGGCTTTCATGGGCACGTACCGGTTTTCATTAGCTCCTTCTACCAACCTGCATCGGATCTGGGCTGCATGGGAACAGCTTTGGGTCGTACATCCCATCCTGCGAACACGCATCATTCAATTTCAGGACGGCCAAACGCTTCAAGTAGTCACCAAGCAAAAGTCCCCATGGAAGGATATTTCATCCATGGATGATTCCCAACCCATGAACTTGGGGACACCTCTTGCGCGTGTGACATTCCATCCTGGACATACTTCCTGCGGATCGCACTCTGGCGTATTCATACTGACCATGCACCACGCTATTTTCGATGGATGGTCATATCTGCAGCTGCTCGAGGATCTCCAGGTGATTTACAACGGAGACAGACTACCACCACGCCCTGCGTTCAATCATGTCATTAAATACATCTCCAAATCCAACGCTAAGGAAGCCCACTCTTTTTGGACGCAAGAGTTCAATGATTTCCAAGCAACAATGTTCCCTGTCTCTTCCCGACGGCCCTCAGCCTCACCACATTGGCAAGTCAGAAGCCAGCAAACCACCCTGACCAAGTCAGATATGGACTGGACCCTCGCCAGTAAAATCAAATTAGCTTGGGCTCTTGTGATCTCCTCCCAAACTCACTCAAAGGATGTGGTATATGGATTGACAGTCTCGGGCCGAAATGCCCCAGTTCCAGAGATCGATCGTATTGCTGGGCCAACTTTCGCAACTTTCCCCTTACGCACGCAGCTTGATGATGAGATGTTGGTGAAAGATATGTTGGTTCAAATGCGACAGCATGACGTCTCCATCATGCCATTTGAGCATACTGGTCTCAGACGTATCGCGGAGTCAAGCTCAGATGCAGCCCTGGCTTGTGGATTCCAGAATCTCCTCACCGTCAGGTTGCAATCTCTTCAGATTCCTCCGGGCGCTTTGATTCACTTGCCCGAAAACGAAGACCACGACTTTAAGTTTGCGTCGTATCCCCTGTCAATCGTGGCGCAGCAGCAAGGCACATCCTTAGAGCTGAAGGCCGTCTTTGATGGCCACATTCTGGGCCCTCATAGGGCCGAGGCACTCTTAGGGCAGTTTGACGCGTTGCTGCAGCGAATTTTCCGGGAGCCCGGGGCAAAAATGAAAGACCTGAAGAGCCAGCTTCCTCCCGAGTGGCAGCAATTGGCGGCGATAAACAAGAAGTCTCTGCCCCACCCGCATTGTCTACACGATATCATCCAGGGCTTCGGCGCTAGCCAACCAAACTCAGAGGCTGTCTGCGCATGGGATGGCTCCCTGACATATGAAAAACTTGTCGCGCTGGCGCGGAGACTGGCAGGCCATCTCCAGTCCTTCGGATCCGGGTCGGAGCCTGGTGGAGTGATTGGTATTTGCGTGGAAAGATCAAAATGGTTCCCCGTTGCCATCCTGGGCGTCATGATGTCTGGAGCCGCCATGGTTTTATTAGAACCAAACTTCCCAGTGCAGCGTTTGCGGCATATCTTGGGAGATGCCGGGGCGCGAACCATAATATGCTCACCGGTATTCCAAGAGAAATGTCAGGGCATGGTCGATGATACGTTGGTTCTGACTCCTGATATCCTGACCCAAGCGGACTACGATGTTTGGACTCCATCAGCGGTGTCTCATCAAGACCCAATGTATGTTGCTTTTACATCCGGATCAACTGGCGCCCCAAAGGGTGTTGTGATAGAACATGGCATGGTATATTCAATGATCCAGGCCCATAAGGACGTAATCGGTGCATCAATCGCGTCCCGGGGCTTGCTTTTCGCCTCCCCCGCGTTTGATATCTGCCTTGCTGAGATTGTACTTATCCTCGGTGCGGGAGGCTGCGTCTGTGTGCCTTCTGAAGCTCAACGCATGAACAGCTTGGCGAAAACGATGACAACAATGCAGGTCAACATGGCTATGCTGACTCCTTCCGTGGCGCGAACCCTTTCGCCGGCAGCGGTCCCTTGTCTCCAAACCCTGATTCTTGGAGGTGAGCCACCATCGGCTTCTGATCTGGTGACATGGGCTTCGCGTGTCAAGTTGCATCAATCCTACGGGCCGGCCGAGTGTGCTATGTACACGACCACTACAGCCCCATTGACTCCCACCTCGGATTTGGGCAACGTCGGATCTTCTCCAAACGCGTCCTGCTGGATTGTTGATCCGGACAATCACGATGAGCTTGAGCCTGTGGGCTCGGTAGGAGAACTACTTATCGGTGGGCCGATTGTTGGAAGAGGCTATATCAACCGAGCCCAGGAGTCTGCAGCAGCCTTCATCCGTGATCCCGTCTGGAGCGATCGGTTCCCCTTCTTGCGAGGACACCGACTTTACAAGACTGGTGATCTTGCCCTCTTGAACGCCGACGGGTCTTTAACTTTGGTCGGCCGAAAGGATACACAGGTGAAGCTCAATGGGCAACGGATTGAGCTCCATGAGATCGAGCATTGTGCGGAGAGATACCAACATGGTACCGCAGTCATTGCGGAATTGATAAAGCCTACCGACGTCCAGAGACCCAGACTTATCATGTTTGTCTATGACCCCGGGACGGTAGAAACAACGGTTGGCATCGCGTCGGCTTGTCATGACCATCGGGAAGTGTTTTTCCCGCCATCGACACAAAATCAAGTTTACCTTGGAGGTGTAAAACACCATCTTAACCAACATCTTCCACCCTATATGGTACCTTCCCTTTTCCTTTCGCTATCCCGTCTGCCGCTTAGCCCGAGTGGCAAGGCCGACCGCAAGACACTGCGCGAGATTGCATCGAAAATGGACAGAGAGACATTGGAGATGTATCTGGACAATCCGGTGGCAGATAAGAGGGAACCAGTCACAGAGCAAGAGCGATTCGTGCGTGCAAGCTTTGCCACAGCCCTGTCACTAAATGAGGAGGCGGTTGGTATGGACGATAACTTCTTCGCATTGGGAGGCGATTCAATCACGGCCATGCGTGTTCTCACTTTGTGTCGGAGAAGAAAGATAGCTATCTCGATGCAGGAATTCCTGTCAAAGAACACTGTATCCTTGTTTTGTGCACATGCCATTGTGATTCAAGGCGAGGCCGTTGATTCCAAACGCCAGAAACTCCTGAATGCACAAGACTCCGTTCGAGGGAAAGATCAACTCGTCCAGTTTGAACACATCGATTACCAGCTGGATATGGTACGATCTCAGTTGAATTTGTTGAAGTCGGATTCTATCGAAGAAATCTACCCCTGCTCTGACGCCCACAGTGGCGTGTTGGAGCTCTATACGTCCAATTACACGAGCACTGCAATTTTCGAAATTTCTCCTACGGGATCGGTTACTCCGATGCAGGTGAGCAACGCTTGGAGTCAACTAGTGCATCGTCATGTCGCGTTGCGGACGGTTCTCATGAAAGAGCCAAAGGTTCACGCAGATTATCTTCACGTCGTCCTCGACAAGGGACCGTCTCAAATTCTAGCTCTCCCTCGCAGCAAGAATGCCCTTTCGGAACTGAAAAATCTCGAACCAGTTCAATCCTGGGGACTGTCGTCACCACACCGGTTAATGATCGGTGAGGACCAATCTGGAACGGTCTTCATCAGGCTGGAAACAGGGTGTGCCTTGATTGACGCTTTTTCCATGACCATTTTACTAGAAGAGCTTTCTCTCGTGCTCCAGGGTCAGCCCTTGCCAGAGAAAGGGGTCTCATATCGTCAATACCTGTCCCATTTGCACAGCCAGTCACCTACGGAAACACTGCAATACTGGACACAGGCGCTTTACGGGGTTCACCCTTCCCACCTGCCCAGACTACCTGCCACGCAGTCCGATCTGGCTGAATCTCGCTCGCAGAGCCGCTCCCTTCCATTTGCGCAATCAAAATGCCTAGATATCTTCTGGCGCTCCAATAACCTCACCATCACCAACGTCTTCCAGCTAGCATGGGCCTTAACACTCACCCACTATACCAAATCCCGCGATGTGTGCTTCGGAACCATCACCTCGGGGCGTGATATCCCCGACCTTGAAGTATGGAACATTGTTGGGTCGTTTTTCAACGTTCTTCCGTGTCGAATTGCGATCGATTCCACGCGCACGGTGTTGGACACCCTCCGACAAAACCAAGAGGATATCCAGCGTCGAAATGACCACCAGTACTGTTCTACGCCAGATATAATCCGCAAATCGGGAATCAGAAGCTTGGACGATGGTCAGCAGTTGTTTAATACAGTGCTGACAGTCCAGAATCCATTCTCCGCAAAATCCTCCACTACCAAGGATGGGAGCAACGAGATCGATATCAAACTCATCGATTTGGAGGATGCAACTGAGGTGAGTGTTTTTCGAACTTCAATCATGAACAGACTAATGATGATTCTTCTAGTATGACCTTTGCGTGGCTATTCTTCCCTCCCCTTCCAACTTCAAGGTGGAATTGCGATACTGGTCGACGACTGTATCTGAAGAATATGCTTCGGATATTCTGAATCGCCTTTTCGAACAGCTGGAACAGATTGTGCAGCATGCGACCAAGCCATTGAGTATCATCACCGGCATTTAATGACAATCATATCTCTCATCATGCTTTCACGATTACTTCTTTGATATAATGTGCTCTTTCGGTATTTACCTTTTGAACATTACTTTTGATATTTCCACTTATTGTACTATTCAATACTTCCGGGTCTCTGTTCAAAGACAATAGTATATAGCATCCATCATATACTGGATAAATTTGTTTCAAGATGACTCGTCCAAGCAAGTCTACGTGTACTCCAAGTATCAGATCCAAGGCAATATCATATCCTAGAACTGGTCTAAAATAATAGAAGAGAAACAAGACAAACACATAGACAGCCACCGACATTGTGGTGGATGAAACGCCATTCGCACCCGTTTTCCATACCCGAACACGGTTCTAAGACTGGTTCCAACTCAAATTTTGAGGGAGTCCCGTCGCGGAAGGGAAAATATCGAAAAAGAAAATCCATGTACACAAAAGAGAAAAAAAGGGGAAGATGGGAAACAAATAAAAAGGCAGGGCACAGGAAGGGCAGTCCGAAAATCAAACAAAAATATTGCCCCATAGTCGCTATGCCATCGCAGGAGAAAATAAACGGAAATCACATGTCCATCAGCAGTCCATCTCCTCCGAGACGTTATTTGGTAGAATTGCTTCGATGCAAGATCTGTACATTGGTCGCACTGGTACCGCCGACCGAACGTCGTCGCGGGCGAACCTCACTGCCGCTTCCGCTCCGTCGCCGTCGGCCAGTGCTGCGAATCGAGCCTCGGCGTCTTGTCTGGAGCAAACGGACGTTTTCACGTTAGAATCACGCTGACTATACATGGGCGGACGTGGTCTCTTAGCAAAAGACAAGTACGAGGGCGAATGGGACAAAAAGTATTTCGCATAGGAATGCACGTATCTGGGCAGCAAAGCACCACGGATCAGAGATGCACGGGACTTACCGAGTTAGGGGTGCCTTCCCGGCTGGGTCGTTCCTTGGTAATATCGGGATCCTCTTGCAACTTCAGGGAGTTCAACCGCTTTTGGCTCTCGTGGGTCATGGCCTCTACCTCATCGATCGGCTCCGGTACGTCAAGAGGCGGCGGGGGTGGTGGGGGAATGCCATTCTTCCGATCTTTGGCCTGTTGTTCAATCACGTCCCACCGGTCAGTGCGAGTCTTTTCGCGTTGGTCTGCGTTGTTCTGGTGCTCAGTGTAATCGTGAGAGCATTCATCGAAGAGTTGCGGGTTGATCTCCATGAACATCTTCATGGCATTGTAAACCATGCTGTGGATTGTTCTGGGCGAAGGGTTAGCTCATATCGAAGGATGTAGCATGTACAGATCAAACTTGCCGGTTCCAGTGTCCCTTGGAGTTCTCGTAAAGAGGCGCAAACATAAGCGGGAGAATTGTCTCCACATTATCGCTCACAAGATTACAGAAGTACTCGTTGTTCCAGAAGTACAAAGCACGTTCGGCGACCTGGAAATGGGGACTGGCAACAGACTTGGCCAACTGATTGAACAGAGGCTCCTGAACTTTGGCGAACTCGCCCGGATCCATTACCTCGAAGATGTCTTCCACTTCATTCAGGTACATAACCTCCTTGGTGCTATTGGTCTTCGGCCAGAAGCGCAGTAAGCCGAGCACAACCTAAACATAGTGGTTAGTACTCGAAGTAGATGGGAGAAAGGTAGATGAGGGCTTACGTCTTCAGTCAATGAGGAGTCCTTCTCCAAAAATTGAACGATGCAGTAGGCCAATTGTGGATGGTACATGCTAAGACTCTTCACCTTGTGCATAGGTAGGAGCACTCTGGTCAAGAAGAGCTTGTGTTCCTCCTTAAGCGGCAAAGCGAACCCGTTGATAATGGAGCCCAGAATCTCGAGCAACTCAGCGATTCCGTTGTGACGTTCAGTCTCATACATGAACTGGAAGAAAACGTTGTTGATAGATCGGCGGATATATGAACGCAAGTTCAAGAACTTTCCATAAATGCGATGCAGAGTTGTCTTGAGGAAGTCACGTTCGCGGGGATCTTCCGAGTCAAAGAGGTCCAACAACTAGATGTAGCATTAGCTTGGATTAAATAAGGAAGTCAAGCACCAGGGGACATACCGAAAGCACAAACTGGTGATCAATATAGCCCTTCGCGATGTTCGTGTTGAAATCCTGGCTTTCGATGAATCTCAAGAAGAATTCATATACGACCTGAATATGAGGCCAAGCAACTTCCAAGACCGGCTCATCCTCCTCCGGGTCAAATGCTTCGCCCTGGGGCGTCATAGGCGGAGGAATAGGACGGAACAGGTTCTTGGCGAACATCTCCACCACGCGGGGATACATGGGCTCCGTAATTACGGACCGATTGTTGGCAACATAATCTAAAAGTTCGTGCAACGCCAGCCTCTTGATCTCCTTGGACTTCATATCGGCCGTCGGGTCGTTGAAATCGAATATGATATTGCACTGGTCGATCTTTTGCATGAACAAATCTTGGCGCCGGTTGGGAGGCACTTCGTGGAATCCCGGCAACTTCTCCAACTCTCTCTGACGCTGATCGGAGATGTCGAATCGCGACGAATGTTGGCGTTTGGGGGTCCGGATACCTTCCGACATGTCCTTAGGAGTTGTCTGCAGGCGGTCAAATACATGAGACTTCCTAGGGGGTGCGAGATCTCCGGGCATCGTTTCGGCAGCGCCAGGAGGGGGGACATGCTATAGAATCCAATCGTTAGCAAATGCAACAGTCATCAAAGTGTGAAATGACCGAACTTACCGGTGCGCTTGGGCTAATGATGACGCTGGGAGCCGCTGGCTGGCCTTGCCTATTCGGAGTTGCTGGTCCATTGCTTACAGGCTGTCCTACGACGCCCGCTTGGGGTATATAGTGTTGAACCGGGGTGCCGGGGTGAGGTGCGCCCGCAGAAGGGGTTCCGGCGGGGGAAGCATTGTCTGGCGATTTGTTTCGCGAGTCATTGAGAGAGGTTGTGGAGGATGTAGGTGTCCCTTGGTTGGGGGAAGTAGACTGCTGTGTGTTGGAAATGCCGAGGGACTGATTCTGTGAGGTGGATGTGGAGTCTTTCTTTTTCGAGGACTTGTTGTCTTTCGCCCGCGACAATTGGTCGTGCTAAAAGCAAGACACGGGATGTTAGATTATTTGCGAAACGAGGAAGATAGCACCAGCCGCATGGTGAAGAAGGGGATAGATGGGTAGAAGTGATCGTGTGGTGAGGTGCACTTGGGTAGGATACGCGGATAACTCACCACTCTCTGTCTGAAACCCTTCATTTTGATTGACTATGTAGATGGCCGCATGTACTCGGCTAGGTTTCTTGGTGCCAGTGCAGCCAGGCGGCGCACTCACTCTAGCCGGAGTGAATCGAGGGGAGCCAACGGAGATAACCGCTCAGGAAGGCCACGAGGGGGGAGTTGGTTGGATCGGCCTAATAGGAGAGTCTCATAAGCGGTCCGAATCACACAGCATGTAAGACGGCTATTGTAAATGAAAATGGTTCTGAAATTCTGATATCAAGCCCCGGCGATGTGTAGAGGAGAAGCTGAGGTTCAATGGCAACAGCACCAAGCGCTCCAAACAATGTGCAGTCGCAGCACGCGCACGGGGCAAGACCTGTTCGACACTGGGAAGAAAGGGCCAATACAGGCAATGGGAGACAGCTGTCCGATCAAACGTACCTCCGTAGTTTTGAGTTGGACAATTGACAGATCGAGTGGGAAAGTGCTGGAGACTAGGTGTTATAGAAGGAGCTTGGTCGGCGCTGGAGGGTATCCGTGTCGCTTAGTGGCAGGCTGGGAGCGGGGGGTTTGGGAGCAGAGGAACGGGGCACTCAGGTCGCAGCCCACGGCGAAAGCACGAAAATGACGAACTGACTAGCAAGAGACAAAGTCGACAATGTACCAGATACCAAGTAAAGATGATGGCGTTGGGTTGTGGAGAGAAGGGAGGGAAGTGGATGTTGTTGAGGTGTAGGGAAAGGCGGGCTGGTTCTCCTGGCTGCGATGGTGATGGGAGGGGGGACCACGCCCAAGTACTATATGGGGGACTCTACGTGTTTTTAACTGATCTGGATCTCTTCGCGCTTTAATCTGAGAGAATGAATTTATTCTATATTATTTTCCCCTTCTCTCTCCTAACACGACTTTCGTATGCTTTTTCCCGCTTGTTTCAAATGCCGCTTATGTCATGCCCACGTGACCTCCAGGGGGATTCGAATTTCAGGCACAAAAGCAAAACATCCCTAATGCCTGAGATATCAATGTGGGCAATGAATCTGTTTTGACTAATTCTGTGAAGGTGATGTAGTTCACGATCCCTTCGAGTCAAGTAAAGCAGGTTCTGAAAATGGGGGATATAATATAGAGAGAGGTCTGTGCTTTGATCCACACCCACATCTGTGGCATAACAGTTGGAACAGGAATGGAACAGGAAATTCCTATTTGAACGGCCTACTTGAATGTTAAATAAGTATTATGAAATCCATGGATGTAATATATGTAGCACTTCTAGCTATATCAAATTTCGGGTAGAAAATTATTGAAGATGTGGAAATATATATCTTTTCAAAGTACCTACTCTTTGCTTCAACCACATTATACTCGGTCTGTCTCTTTCACCCTTCTATATCCCCCCAAACCCAGATCCATACTATAACATGTTGAAGTATTACAAGGCGAATGAATACTGCATGAAACCAGAGATAAAGAATGGATGGTTTAATAGTGTAACAGTACAATTGGAATGTGTAAAAGGCTCTCAGTCTTTGTAGTCTCCCATCGTCAACCGATCCGCACAACCCGCGTCGATGCCAAGCATGTGGTTTAGTAGCTGTTTAACGAGTCGCTCAATGGTCTCGTCACGATTATCGACTGATGGTGAGACCTGTTGCATTAGGAAGGGGCGGTATTCTGCAATCTGCGGGGACTCTAATAGGCGAGGTACCTATGGCCACGCGATTAGTCGGCACGGAGGCCAACGTCCTTGGTGGTCCAGAACCAGACCAAATCCATTATCATCGCTGCATGAATCCCATATAATACTTACTATGTATGTAGTCTAAATGTAAGTCCCACTTTCTGACCGTCAGAAAGTCTAACTACAAGGTCCACCAATGACTACCTATATTATACTATATGGTCCGAAATGCTTCCTGCTATATAGTAAATATCACCCTATAGATAAAATTTCTGATGGAGGTCAGAAACGATATCCCGATATCCCATCCTTCTCACACAAACAATTTCGGTCTCTGAAGTATTTAAGCAGCCGTCGCCCCTGACGAACCTTCTGTATTTTCCCCGAGTTATCCTGCCTCTGGCCACTCGTTATCACATAAACAACTTTTTATTTTGCAGGTATTTAATTATGGACACCATTCAGAGATACATGGAGTTTAGTAGTACCACAAATGTCCTCCCGTCTCCGATATCTTATACATATCCTTGTCTAATATGATCTATTCCACTCGGCTAGCTCCTAGCCACGCTTCCTAATCTGCCACTAGCCTCTGACCCTATGGCTTGTCGAAATGTTCTTTAGCATCGCTTCGATTTTATGGTGATCCGTGCTAGAATGCCTCCTAATCTCCGCTCCACTGCAATTGCCCGCTTTAATGACCCCAGATCATCCACGCAGGTCCTTGTGACCACATACAATTGCGGTGCGACAGGTCTCAATATGCACTCGCAGTGTGGTGGCATTATTCTTGACCATCACAGTACCGACCTTCAGCCTTTGACCGAGGCCAGAAATGTTTGTCCTTGTGGCTCGTTGGTCATTTGAAACCCTTATTTCATGTACCTTTCTTTCACTCTGGTCCCTCTCACTATTCCATCTTCCGTTGCTAATCTACTCTAAGTTCCTAACCGCATACCATTTGGTTAAATCTGCCATATCAAATATGGCGCAGTTGAGTGGCAAGGATACGTCCCTGGAGAACGTTGGCACCATCCTCTTAGGCGATATCAATTGTCACCCTTTGACCTGCTGTAGCTCTTCGGAAGCCACAGCGGCTACGTAATAGCATGATCTTTCTCTTCCCCTGGCCGTCATTGTAATACTACAGCCCATAACTTCATTTTCGCTCACTAGATGATCACCATGACTGCATTAGGGAATGAGCAGCTACCTGTATCATGGGTATAAATAGATACTTTGTATAGTGATCATACTTCTCTCCTTCACACCACCACGAAAGTAGATAGACAGCGTTCAGAGAACGCAATCTGCTCCACAAAAAGCCTAGTCAGTCATCCTCACTTGCAATCCTCGCCATGTTCACCAATCCCTTAAGTATCTTTATGAACTGACAGTTGCCTAGAACACTGACTCTTACTTGATCACTGGCTCTTACTTTCTTCGTTCATGCTCACCATCCTTCGAGACTCACCTCCTGCTGTTCCATATTTCGCAATGACGGACTTCATCGCGCCTCGGGTCAGTTCTGACTCGGCATCTTCGGAGGGAAAGCCCAAGAGCCTCGGCAACTGGACTGATGGAAAGAACTGCATATCTTTTGGTGTCTCCCATGTTTTCGCTGAAAAGTTCACCATTGGGATGCTGAGGAGGATACCCCATTTGATCCGTTGTGCGAAATTTCCGCTGCTTCGCCCCGGATGTGTGAGAATTGCCAAGAAGAGGGCGAAAGATGCGAACGGGTAAATTTCGACTATTGGTCAACTTCTTCGGGTAAGATACGCTGACAATGATTGTGATCTTCTTCAGATCCCCCAGGGTATTCAGGGCCACGGCTTTGAACTGAAGGCCTTGCTCGAATTTGTGCAAAAATACTGGACCGACGAGGACGATGACTAGGACGATGACAAGGACGACGATGTATCCTTGGATGCATCCAAGTGGCGTGGAGATATCCTCGTGAAGCTTTCCGCCGCGCTCATTGACCTATGTGTTGCATTTGACGACCTGCTCGAGACACATAGTAAGGCTCATATGCTAACATCCGATGTCTCTGACGTGAGTTTTCTTTGCTGTATTCTACATATATGACTATTTGTTGACTTGTGGACAGAAAGCTAAGGCTGACTACTTTGTGCGGTGCAATGCTAGATAGCATATGATCCGTTCTAATACCAACTACCGTCCCAATGCCAAGTACAACAAAGAGCCGCATCATCAGTATGCCTTCCGTGCCACGGAGCATCTCCGCCTCGGTATGGATGAAGAAGCATCCGTAAACTGGGCCATCGCGATTTGTGTGTTCTATCAAGCCGTCCGGGCCACGGTAGAAACTTATATCAGAACCACTCCGCCCTATTTCAAATCCACAGATGTCGAGTACCTCCAAGAGTTTCCTCTGGACATCCCTCAGCTTTGAATTGATTGAGTTGCTTTGCCCAATTATTTGCGCTGGGCCTTCGTGATTGTATCACCTGGGGTATTTTCGCGATTTGACTTCTTTGCGAGTTTTTTCTTTGCGAGATTTCTCCTGTTAACGGCGTGGTGAGGCGTCTATTGACCAGGACCTCTTTGATATCTTCCCGTCTGGTTCTGCCGTTGTTTCAGAGCCATTACATAGCACCTTAAATGCATTCTTTTCAGCGGGTTTTTCTGCTTTCTGTAAATGTAACCCTCTCTATTTTGGTTGCCCACTGTTGTTTGCTTTCCAACCGTATCTCAATTTTCTTCTGTTCTCAACTCTCCTCTTCCTCCTTCCTGCTCACCACTCCTTGACACGTACTTCATCGTCCAGTACTATCGACTATCGCAAGTGAACACATCATCATGGCTCCAACGAAACCCGATCTCGACTTGCACGCTGAATCCTCGACCTTACAGACACGGCGCAGGGTGCCCACCCTTCCCTTTTACCTGACCACCCTCTGGTGTCTGCAGTGTTTTCGCACTTCAATTCACAACTGGGATGCTTCTCTCCCCTTTCAGCCAAGATGCTGCATAGACACTGTTGCATCCAACATGTGCGGTCGTTGCATTGCAGCCAACGTCACTTGTGAATCAGTATATCTCACTTCCTATTCAGATGCTTCTGACATAATGCTAACATGACTCTTATCATTCTATAGGTCTACCGGGGCATACGGGGCCACGTTTTTGAATTGATGGCCTTGATTGAATTCTCGAAGCAATATTGGCGCAACGACAATCAGGGATTTGGAAAGACCAATGTTGCAGATCTCGTGTGGGACTATGGGGTCATCAAGGATATTTCGGAAGCAGTCCGGAGCCTCTGCCTTTCATTTGATAACCTGGTGAAGACCCATGGGGAGGCTCATATGCTGACAGGAAATGCGTCTGATGTAAGTCTTGTTCAGGCCCTAAGTTCTGTTTCTATGGTGTCCTTGCTAATGCGTAGACAGGGCGCCAAGGCTGCTTACTCTACCTGGTGCAATGCTAGAGAGCACTCGATCTATCCCCATACCATGCTTACCGACAACCTGGCTCAGAAATATGCCTCCCAAGCCACGGAGCACCTCCGTCTCCGGTTCGGGGAAGAGACACAGGTCCACTGGGAAGCCGCCATCTGTGCCTTTTATGATGCTGTCGAGCGTGCTGTTGGATGCCACCAGGAGAGAAATGAATAATTCTTTGGCGGCCTTCATTACTTTCTGTATCGTTTAGTAGTCTTGACTGTCTGAAGCGCAAACAAACTTCGCTTCTGTCCATGAAATAACTTCGACAACGCAACAGAGAGCAACAACGCCCAGAGAAAAAAATAGAGACTTGACTAATGACCAGCGGGACCTCAGGATAGATGTATTGGGCGTTTGGCACGACGATAAGGCCTCGAAGCATACATTCCGGGCGGTCTCTAAACATCCGCGGATATTTAGATGACTTGAACTCTCGTCCAATGAATATTGTCCGATGTAAGATTATTATAGGAGTTTGTTCACTGTGTCTCAAACATCCCATCTTGTTAATCGGCATGCAGTTGCTGAAATTATAGTTGTCACTAGGTACTCAGGCACATAAAACCCTGTCTAGCAAAAAGACAGAGATTAGTTTGACAGCGTAGCGACCTCAGTATTACAATTAATGTGCTATTAACTTAACTTCAAAGCCCTTCAACAAATGTTGCAGGACACTGTGCTGGGACTATGTCCACTCTAGCTGGTAAACTACTTGGGCCACCTATACCCACATTGTTATTCGTGAGCCTCGTCCAAATTCATGTAACCTCATCGAGATAACATTAAAACCAGTGGCAACGCAGCCACTAGGGCGCTTCTCAAGCTCAGGCGTGTGCTTGCTGCAGCACTGCTTTTATCACTGCCACTACCACCGGCAGCTGTTTTTTCCGCAGTGTAGGTGTAGTAAAGACTAGCAGCTGTCTGGGTGCCTAAGCTGTCAACAGCAGTGCTAGTCGGCAGACTGGTCGCCGATGTCTTCGACCATTGATCTGCGAACGGATAGAATCCTGTCGTTTGGGGGTCGGCGCTACAGTAGGCGCTAGAAACTCCCATCACGTAACTCTCTGGGAACCAGTGGTAGCCTATGTGTTATTTAGCCTTTTGATCGAATCAAGAGAATACGACCATGGCAGGGTGTGCAGAAAGGAAGACCCACCCTCAATGCCTCCATGCTTTCTGAAACACTCCTGACAACCGACCGCCGAGTCAAAGAAAGGATATATGCCACAATAGCATTGCTGCTGGACGTCCCAATCACCCGAATACGGCTCAAGGCCCGAAAATGTTCCGTTTGTGTTGTCAAAGTAGCAATTAGAATTGATCGCCGCTTGTCGTTTACACGGAGCCTCGTCGATCAGATAGGTAGGCTTGGGAGAGATTGCTTCAGTCGCGTCATCCCTGCGGAAGTTGTGATGTCGCAGCGGGTTATACGGCAGGTAGCATTCATTGTAGAGATCGATGTCAAGGTCGGTTAGACCAGAGTCCTGGGATGAGACAACATAGAACCTGGAGACATAGGCGCCGTTTGGGAATACGGGGTATTCATCGGAGGCGGTAGCTGAAGCGGCCGCGCCAGAGGATGTGCTGGTGCTGAAGATGGAGTCGTACCCGTAGGAAGAAGTTGGTTCCACAGTTGTAGAGGTAGAGGCAGTCATCGGCATCGTCAAGGCGAGACAAAAGGGGTGATCGTTGAAATCACTTCCATTGTTGTCCAAGTGGGCCTCGGGAAGAATGCTTGGCATTACCTGACCAATAAGGTCTCTCAATGAGAAAAGGCATCCCGGAATGGAAGTGATATTCATTCTTCATCCCACAAGACAGTGTGGTACATATTCAAGATACCGTATGGCCTTTGTATAAATCGAGGATACATGATATTGCCGGGAGTTTCGGGGCTGGGGGATAGCCGTTGGCGATAGTTGTTTGTTTGAAGCGACCACTGGATAAGTATAGGACCCAGCGAGAGGAAAATTTTGGAATGGTTTAATTTATACTGTTGTCGGAGGTTTTATAGCAACGAAGAATTGAGTGATATGGTAGCTGTGGAAAATTTCCTCGAGCCCCTAGACCCGTAGTTGTGGATTCCTAAGTATTCCAGCCATTCATAAGCTCAGATTAGACTTGGGCTACTTTGAAGATGTTATCTTCACGTTTCTCTGCACTCCAACCCGCGATGAAAGACTCGATCGACTTTATTGCTGACTTGCGGAGGTCCATTTCGGACATCGTTAACTGCTGGTCGGCGTTAGAGCCAATCACTTCAAAATACGCGGCTGAACTCTTCAGGACATCCTTGAAATGCACATCTGAAGACTTCCACGTATTCTTGGCATCATTGAGAATTGAAGGCCTTTGCCTTTGGTCATCAATGTGAGGAGGACATTCCAGATAAAAGGCATAATTGCAATTTTGAACCTGTCAAACAATGTTAGTTTGTAGGGAGGCTGCATAATTTGATTACTAATGTGTGAGGCCAGCCTCTATGAAAATGGATCTGGTTAGCTTCATTCGATTGATTGGACTGTCAATTCAATTAATTCTCTTGAAATGTTTCTTCAAAGCGTGTTAGTTGTAGCCTCGACGACGTCGCCCAGCTGCCCAGGTATTCGAGGTGATGAGTCAGCGGGATTTAGACCCTGGACGCACTAACCGCTTGTGGAATGTAGACTCGATTCTTTTCCCAAACCTGAGAGATATCGCTGTGAGCCCTTAATTGTCTCGCAGGTGAACAAAAACATAGAAACTCGTACAGACGGGTGTATTGAGCTGAAAACACTGGAGAAAAGTGGTGGCGCTGACTTTGGTCGGATTTGCGCAACCCCCGAGAGCAAACCAGAAACAACATCAATCCACATCAATTCAGACTCAAAGCTGGGGCGAATGACATCGCAAACACATAATCCATAAGTCTGATATGAAACCAATCAGTATGGATGACCAGCGGGGTTCCAGAACTGCTCCCTTCTACGCAGTGCCATCCCGTCGCCTCGTCAGCGTTGAGCACCCTGCCGTGATCCGCAATGTCGATAAGGCGATCGAGACCTTACAGGGCGACGCCGGAATAAAAACAGTGAGAATACTTCTTGCCCTGAAAGAAGATTGAAAATTGAATACATGCTGATTTAATACAGATCCTTAATCCGGAGAAAGATGACACACTAGCTAATCTGGTGTTCCGGCCAGAAGATGCCATGGCTCGATCGGTCCAGTCAACCATCGTTCAATCAAACAATGTTCTGCTCAAAGTCACTGTCCCCAAGCGGACAGGACGGAAGCGCAAGAGAGGCTCGAATGAGCCTTTCGCAGATGCACCAGAGTCAGAAGCATCTGAGCCGCCCCCGCGACGGATCGCTAAGGATCTCTTGCGCAGTTTGAGTGATAACCCTGCCAAGTATCAGATCGAGCCAGTTGGGAGGGTTGAACGGACACATGTGTTCCGAGGTAGGTGAACTACTCTAATGATCCGTTGCTGGTTTGTTAACATCTGATATCAGGAATCCCTGATTTCGTTTACTCGACTACAGCGAGTCCCTTTACGAACCGGTTCCGAGACCAAATTCTCCCATTTGACTGTAAGTTCGCCTGACATACACCTCATTAGAAATGCCCTAACACGCTATAGTCGACAAAATGAAGCAATTTGACATCGACATGGCCAAAGGTGCCACCGCGAATGCAGATCTCATCCCACCACCATCATTCAGCCATGGAGACGTCCCATTCCACTACATGTAAGAGCCACACCCAAAATACGAAGCCAAGACGACCAGACCACTAACTTCCCTCGAAGCTACCGCCAAAACCCAACAGTGAAACAAGCAATCGGCCGGTCCGGCGAACTAGAAACCGTGAACACCCAAACCGCCAACAAAATCCTAACCCACCTAGTCCCCTACGACATCCCCGTCGTCCCATCCGAGCCACGGCCAGACATGCTCCCAATAAGCGCACTAGACGCAGGCATGCTGCGAACAATCTCGACCCTAAATGCCCTGTACGAAAAACAACCCGCCTGGACCCGTCGCGGACTCCGCAACAACCTCAAAACAGACGAAGACCGCCTAAACCTCCGCCATGCAATTCCATACGTAGGCTACATCTTCCGCTCTGGACCATGGCGCGACGCAATCATCAAACTCGGCGTCGACCCACGCACCTCACCAGAATACCGCTACTACCAAACCTTCATGTTCCGCCTCCTAGCACGAGAAGCCGAACTCGCACGCGACGGAGGCGGCGGTCGACGGCACAACGTCCCACGACCTAGCGACATTCGGACAAACGAAGATGAAAACACCAGCGGACCGTCAACAGGCCATATTTTCACCGGCAAGCAACCATTCGCACAAGACGGACGGATCTGGATGGTTGGGGAGATTGAGGACGCACAGCTGAAAGCCGATTTATTCCCCGCCGATCCGGGACCTGGATTCCTGCGCAGCGAATGCGACATCGTTACCGATGGATGGTTTGGGAATGGCACACTTGCGAAAGCAAAGGCTGTTATGCGGCATAAGATCCAGGCATTGATGGAAGGACGGGAGCCTGATGATGAGGATTATGTGAAGGTTATGCGACTACCTGCGCATGCGCGATCTGAGGCTGATTTCCCGTTGTTTACGCTTGATCCTGATGTTGCGACGCAGAAGGAGATTACGCTTGCTACGGAGATTCGGTCGATTATTCGCAGTTCGCCTGTTTGGAGGAATTTGACTGCTAATGCTGGGTTAGTTAGGAGGGAGGTTGGGGAAGGGAGGGGGAAGGGTAAGGGGAAGCAGACTTTGAAGGGGAAGAGTGTTGAGCCGGAACCGGAACGTGAGGTTGAGCCGGAGGCTGAGAAGGTTGAGGAGAGTGAGGGTGAAGAGGAGGAGATTCAGCGTAGGGAGATGTTGGCTGCTCAGGTTGCGGATGCTGCTGCGGCTAGGGATGCTGATGAAGTTGATGAAGATGATGAGGATGAGAGTGATGAAATGGATGAAGACGAGGATGAGTAACGGGGACTACTAGCTTACTTGAGGATTGACTGGCTACGTCTAGAAAATTGGTCCTTTGTGCTGAAGATAGTCATCGAAAGCATTGTTTTAATCGTTGCTAAAGCCATGGGCAGACTTGGAATACATCGTGAAGCATCAGACATAACACAGACAATAACTCATGAATTAGACGGGATAAAGAAAGTGAACCCGATTGGTCGCAATAATGAAGCCAAGAAAGATACATAATTCGTAGCAAACGTTATACCAAAACACCTGATAGGCTGAACACCAGTGTTCGAAAGCGACACACACCAAGCAAAAGATAAACGCCAAACAATCAAACAAATAGGTATATGTATTGGGGCCCAACCCAGGCCAAAGAACAGCGCCATTGAACCAGATGCAGATGTAAGGAATGACGAGCAGACAGATCAAAGAGCAGACTCGGTGCTATCAGTTGAGTCCTGGTGCTGGGTTTCAGCGCGGGAAGCAACAGCATCCAGAACTGAAGCAATGGAGGCAGTGACGGGGCTCTCTTGGCTCCGCGCAAGAGGCGAAGAAGGTTTCTTGAACTCGGGTTCATCATCATAGACGATTGTGTAAGAGAAGGCATTGCAGCCCTCGGCATAGTATTCGGCAGCGTTGAGCTCACCGAGCGGAGCACGGGGCTCATCCATCTTTGGTGCTTTGCGAGCAGCAGCAGGGATAGTGGTGGTGGACTGGCGAGCGGTGGGGAGTTCGATGCCCAGTTCGTGAGGGGGAATGTTCTCCTTCCCACGGGTGCAGGGTGGGTCGGACTTTCCCTCGTCGTCGCTGATATCCAAGACAGTAGTTGAGTGCTGCATCAGGTTGGTCATTTCTTCCTGCTCAGTGTCGACGTGGATATCGAAGCACCACGAAGCTGGAGTCGGGGCCTTAGGAGCGGGCTTAGGCTTGGGGGTTGTGGATTGGGCGAGGGCGGATGCAAGAGAGAAGGGACGAGCGACGCCGCGCTTGGTATATTGGTCTGAGCGGGGCTTGGCGATGAGCGAGCGACGCGTAGCCGACTTGCTTGACTTTGGTGGTGGGGAGCGACCAGCGGGTTTGAGGATGGGAGCTGATTTGGGGGTTGTAATGGAGATCTTTGAGGGGGTTGAGAGACGGGGGGAGATGTTGATGCGTGTGGAAAGAGCCATGCGGGATGTTTTGATGGGTTTGGACGCGCTATCCTCGTCGTCTTCAAAGGAACGCTTTCGTTTTGTGGAGAAAGATGGATTGATGTTCTCTGAATCGATGAAGATAGAGGTCTTCATTGGGGTGGACTTCATAGACATGGTACCTGGGATTGTAAGCTAGACCATCTTCGGAAGATCAAAACATGGGTCAACACGTACCATTTTGTTGGTTCTGACGATTAAGTTTGGAGCGCATCAATGGCATATCCAAACAGCCCAAAGGCTGACGAGTAGGAGTCATAGTGAGAGTGGCCATGGTGAAGGAAGAAGGAGAGAGGGATGTTTTGTTTTGGTCAGCGCCAAGTGGGGGAGGATTGGCGGTCTATAATAGGCACTAGGCAGGCCGATCGCTGGATTTGCAGAAAGATGGTAAAATGTCTGAAACAGATGAATAAAACAAAATGTAATCGAATGATATGAATTGGTCGGATGAAATTTGGATAAAATGATGGAATGGGTCGGATATGGTCGATTATTCCGTACACTGTTGAGAGCACGAGGGATGATTCGTAAAGACGTGCAGTGATGAGATAGATATAATAATAACTTAAGACGTTAAGAGCTTGGTATTAGAGGGTTTAGAGGCAAGGAGTAAAGAACATGAGGAGTCACAAATGGAGGGAGAAGGGAACTATTTCAAGGACTGCATACTGCGTAAAAGCGCGTCGCGTTCACGTTGTCGGATGATTGAGGGGCGTTTATGCAATTCCCAGCACAATCCAATTGACGGGTTTCATTCTTCTGTCTTAGAACAATGTACTCCATGTAGATCCTTACGCGATTTTCTGTATGCTCTATGTGGTATTCATATTATTTCCTACGTTGTACACAGTCAATTTAATCTTCTTCTTAATTTTTCTAGAATTACCCTTACAAGTAAACTAAAATCACCGCAAAGGTGTCAATTCCTGAATTCCCCCCAGCTGAACACTGCATAGTCGCGTATCCCTTGGACGCGTCGGTCAGCCCACAAGTACCCGGTACTCGGCATCCCGGCACTAGCGCATACAGCGCGTAAGTACCAGATACCTCCACGCTCCACGTCTTGCACGTTCCTTCGCGCGCGACTTCGCGTTCACGTCTCGTCCTTGCGCACTGTGCATTCATTCGTGAATAGCGTCTATAATCTGCACTAAAAATATGCTGCATGAAATGTCTAATGAAACTATGCCAACGCATCGGTCTCCATTGGTTATCCTCCACCCGGACTCAGGTTACCGGATGAAACCATGCATGCACTGGCCGATCGGGAGTTGCTGGGGTTTGAGGTGAATGTGGAACATTCGACGGAGGACAGTCTCAGGACAAAGTTTGGAGGTGTCTGGGGGTGTCGCACACTCAAGGCTGGGGAATGTTCTCTGGGCTGGCTATCAAGGTGGTTTATAGTAGGAATTCGCCCCTGAAGGCTGTTTCAAGGCGTAGAATGATGGAGGGTTATTAATAGGGATATTACACCTGGGCGTAGACAGGTTTTCCAAGGTTTGATGGTACTTGCGCCCTGTCCCTCGTGGGCTCGGGTTATTTCCCCTCGGTGCATTGATCCTTGTTGCATTCCTCGCGAAAACCGACAGCTAATCCTTTGGGCCATTGACGTGCAATCGCGTTGGCATTCTACCCCAGACCGATGAAATGCCGACCGGAATAGTCCATAGAATTTTGTCGCGTGATATAATAGTGTACATGATCGCAGACTCGTGCCAATTACCTCAGACCTCATCCTCAAAAGGAATGCTATCCATGGCACCCCGACGTTCCACCGCCCGAGCCGAGGCGCGGGCAGCCAGACGCATCGCCTCGTCCATGACAGTCTTGTACCGGTATGCCTTCTCGTCATCCGCGACATTCTGCCCAGCCTTGCCCTCCCTGCGACGCTGCTCACGCCACCGCGCCACCCTGACCGCGTAGGCTCCAACAAATGTATCGCCCGCGCCAGTCGTATCCAAGACATGAGAGGCAGCGACGGCTGGGATCTCGTTGGTGAAGCGCTGTACTCCGTCACTGGGTCCGGATGAGCCGGCATCCGCGGCACTGTACCAAGCGCCCTTCGCCCCGAACGTGATGAGGATGTAAGTGACACCCAATTTGTGGAAATACCGAGCAACCTTCTCCTTGCCATCCAATCCCTCGGCATCCGGAACCGTGCGAAGCAGTTGCTCCGCCGGGGGAGTCATCAGCTCAGCCTCCGTCTCGTTCAGGATCAAGTGATCGACAGCAGCGTATACATCCTCGGGCAAGCCACCAGGCGGCGCAGGTGCTGGGTTGAGCATAACATCTGGACCACACTCAATGCCGCACTTTCCAGCAGCACGAGCCTTTGCCTTGTAAGCTACGATCTCACGTAGTGTCCCGATAATCGTGTCAACCGGGATCTCGCCCTGCATCACGATAACATCGGGTACGGGCGCCGCTAGCGCCATACCCAGCACCTCGGGGGTAGGCTGCATGCCATCGTAATTCGCACCAGGGGAGAAGAGAATGCGGTTCTCGCCGCCGGCTGACGAGTCCACGATGATCACTGCCACACCTGTGTATGCGTTCTCGATGACTTTCACTCGGGAGGGGTCGACTCCGGATCTCTCGAGGGTCGGTTTAAGCAAGGAAGAGAAGTGGCCATCTAGAGCGCCTACTGCGCCCATCATCTCGACATTGACATCGCTCGTGGAGTTTATGGTGCCTGTTGGCTTGGATCGAGACATGCGCCCGCATGCCACGGCTTGGTTTGCGCCCTTGCCGCCCGCGCTGGTGAAGTAGGATGAGGAGGTGATTGTCTCGCCTGGGTCTGGGAATCGGGGTGTCACTGAGACCATGTCCGCATTCAGGGATCCAATGACTCGGATGAGAGGTGCCATGGTGAAGAATGTGGTTCGTTTCGTGGATTGTAGGTCGGGGGCTGGTTATGTCTTTCGGTCGGGCTGGGGAGATGCGGAAAGTGGAAGGGCGCGATTGGGAGGTGATGTAAATCTTGTAGATCTCAAAGTTTGAAATATGCAACACAGGCGAGGAATGACAGTCCAAGACTTTCGTCAGGTAATTGAGAGAGATAGCACTGGAGTTGGAAAAGAATTGGAATGACGTATGGGCGGGGCCCATCGGATGTGGGATGTGGGGCCGACAGCCGCAATTCCGTGGATCCGATCTATGATGTACAGCCACGTCTATTTTGACAACATACGTTATCTACAACGTTGAAGAATGGCTTCATCCTTTTTGGAGGAATATTGTTGATATTAGATTTACAATGGGAGAGTATCAGTGGAACTGTATTATCTATATCATTTGTATCCCAAGTGATCAACGGAAAAATGGGAGGAATTGGGGAGATCACCCAGCAAGAATAACACATTGAAACCTCGATTTTCGCGCCTCCAGTGAGAGAAATAAATAGAATTAAAATACGCAAGAACTTTGAATGGAACTAGAATTAAATATGAATTAGGAGCGAAAAAAAAAGCACCGAAACCCCCCTTAGGTTTATCCACGCCTGGGGTCGAACCAGGTTATGTCAAACCCAGCGACCTCCCTATCACGACTCGGTCAGCAACCGCATCAGGGTCCAAGCCGTTACGGTGGTAACACACTGAGCTATGAGGGGGTTTCGGTGAAACACCTTATGTTTCAGTTAAACTTAACAAACAAACGCCTAATATCATAAGGCTCCCCAGAGGTTCTACAAATTAGTTACATTATCTCTGCTTTACATTAACAACAATCAAATTTATTATGGTCATTAAATCAAATAATTATGAATTAGGAGGGAAAAAAAATAGGAAGACACCCCCATTGGCTTTGCATGGACCAAGTAGATCACCCACCAAACTGGCCTCCCTATCACTCCCCAATCCGCAACATACTGCAGGAGCTACTGTAAATGATAGAGCACGAACCCATAAGGTAGTTTCATTGAACGCCATGCATTTGCGCGAAGTATGAGGGACCCATGTTTGGCCTCAAAGAAGACGTGCTCACTCACAGTATGGCCCATTACACGTAATTATATGATTCAGTGGAATATTCATATTATTGAGTACTCACTACCAATAGATATGTGAGAGTAATATGAGCAGGAAGTGAGTATATATGATTCACCTGCTCTAAGATCAACATTTCATTACCTTATTCCTACAAATTAGCAGACATGTGACACATTAAGAAGGTAAATACATCTAGGACCCTCGGCCCCTTTTCATGGTTTACCGGATCTTAGGACAACTTGAAGCCACGCCTATGTCTTGTGGGGGTGTGCTTGTAGGGACAGCGGGGGCCTACGGAGGTAGACTCGTCCATAGTAAATGCAGGAGGAAAGAGGCTACAGGCAAACAATGGTAGCCTTGGCCGGGGCAGCCGTTGTCAGCTCACTCTGGGCTGGCCCATCTGTGGGCCAACACGTCTTTGTTGCAAACAGGAGCTTCTTTTGCGTCTGTTTCGCCATGGCATCTGCTGCCTCGTTCCCCGGCACCGCAGAATGCCCGGGGCTTAGGTGTAGCTCGACGTGGACCCCAAGTCCATTCAATGTCTTCGCATGAGCACTTATCGTTGCTAATTGGGTCGCAATGTCTCCTTTAGCGGGGTATGTCAGCTCCCCGCTGATGCGTCTAAGGGCATATAAGTCGTCCGTAAACACAAACAGCTCCTTCGTCATATCATGAAGATGCGACCTTGTCTGCCCCTTAATCCCTTGGAAAGACGTCTTCTTCACGCCAAGAGCTCTCACAACATTGGACCGTGGATTTTCCAGGTCACTGATTGCTGCCTCAAGTGTAGAGGCAATCGCAAAAAGTTCTAAGGTCGCAGTACTGTCAATACTAAAGGGATAGTAAATTCCCTTTCCCTCAAACTTGGAGGAAGTGAAGCTTTGCGGCCAAACAACTCCGGCTGCACCGCAGAGCCAGCGTAAAGACCCATCACAAAAATAAACAAGCCTTTTGCAAACGTCCTTCTGGATATCATGTTCCAGAATGTGCTTCGAAAACTCTAAAGCCATCTCTCCAGTAGTGAGCGACACGAAGCCGATGAAGTCGTGACCGAGTTGCCAGCAGTACCTTCTACTTGCTTTGTCGGTGTTCCTTTTTTTCGACGGACGGGGATTCTCATCAGGGTCTCTGTCGGATGGAGGGGCCTTTCGCTTTCGACTGACAGATGGGCCTGAAGACTGGGCGAGCAACTGGGACGGCGTATTATTTGGTGGGGCCTCTTCGAGGCTGAGCTCGGGGTCGGGCGACATTTTGGTCAATTGCACAGCCTCACGCTGGGTTTGTCTGTGCCTGGCCCGCTGGCGCTTTGACAGAAGCGCAGGGACATGGTGGGCCCGTCCAATCAACGGCCCGGGGAGAGGGTCAAACACAGGCGCCCCAACAGGTGTACCGAGAGGCTCCAACACATGGTTTGACGGAGGGTCGGGGTAATCCAGTTCAATCCACGGCTCGGGGAGAGGCTTGAACACACGCACCCTAACAGGTTCACCGAGAGGCCGTAACGTAGGCTTGGGCGGCGGGTCGGGGATAGGCGCGACAGAAGCTTCAATTGCAGGCTTCACAGCAGGTTTCTCGGGGGTTGTCGGTCTCGTTCCGAGGAGTTTGAAATCGACTCGTCCATCTTGTAGCGTAACTGTGGCTGTGGATAGGATGAGAGGATGGATAAGAAAAGGTGGGAGAAGGAAGAACAAGAAGAAAGCAAAGCACTAGTCGCAAATGTATCACTCTGAGGCCTACCAACTTTTGGTTACGAGACTTTCCTAAAGTGGGAGGAGGTACGTTGCATCACGTCTCCTTTATCCAGTCTGGGGATTATTCCTCATCACTCATATAGCCTCTCTCTTCTTCGATTGCCATAATTGCTATAACGGATCTAATAATACACCGTCCAATTCCACACCAAATCCATAGACAAGGTAGTTATTATCATTGAAAGTCTAAATACAATCCATCGTTTTGCCTGACCTAGGGCCGATGGAAGGGAACCTTGGAAGCATTTAATAGAATATTCACGCCGATGGAATACATTTGTAGATACACCGGAGACCCTACAAATCCATCGACACAAATAAGAAAACACCTGGCCAAGATTATAAGCTGTTCTAGACGGGTCCCCATATGTCAGATACATGGGACAGGTAGCGAAAGAAAGATAAAGGCGAGCCAAGACTAGGGTGCGAGTAGCATGAGAGTATGTAGTTTTAATTCCTTAATGGACAAGAGAGAATGAATGATGGCTTTAGGAAGCAAACAAAAAATGGGGTCACCCTTTATGTAAACTCCTGGTGCTAAACTAGAGAGAAATTAAGCTCTTTCGACTCTTCAGTTTCCTCTACTGCCGCTTTGATCTCCCCTCTCGCTTCCCCTGCACCTTCTCTCTCGTCTTCTGCTTCTACGCAATACCCATTAAGCGCCCCCATTTTGACGTATATTCTCGCTCTACGTTAGCAATATGGACATGAAATATTTATATAGGATCTGAGTCGTCTACACCTTCATGGCCATCTTCCTGGACTGAACTTGAATTAGTGAAACAAAGGAAAATATAACCCAAATCTCATCAACTTCACCAATATCTATCACGACTTGGTTATCTATATACTGCAGGGCCTACTCTACCCATTGTAGAGTAGAACGCTGAGCTATGAGGGGGATTTCTTGTCAAACTGTGTGTTTGATTCCCATTTAGGAAGGAACGTCACTCATACCTGTATGCCACCTCACATGTGAATAATTTGATTCAAATATTGACACTATTGCTTACGCCCTCGGGGTGATCTTTTAGGCTACCACATAATAGAAGTGAGAGCAATCTAGTGATGACTTACTAGTTATCAACTCAACATTTTGTAATATTAATCAAACAATTAAGTAACATCATCCAAGAAACTCAAGTGTACATCCATACCAAACATCCAAAATAATTCAGAGGTTATTACAGGGCATATCCAATGTAGACCTATTTGGGTTCCTGGTGGTATGCACTGGCGGATGATAGGGGGATGGTAGCAGGGGACAGAAGAAGAAATGAGATTACCAAGGAACCCGATGCGCGTCCGCACAGGCTTCTTTCCTCTGGTATTGAGTTATTTGGCCTTTGGCGCAAGTGCCGCTTTCTTTAGGATGCGAAGATATTTGGCCTTCCTCGCCATTGCAGCCGATGCTGTCTTTCGAGCCGTCGAATCCGCCGCCTCGTTGCCAGGCACTTTACAATGGCATGGACTGAGGTGCAGCTCTAAGTGTACCCCAAGCTCACTTAGCTCCTCGGAGTGCCGGGCAATTGCCTCCAACTGAGTTGCCATACATCCATTGGGGGCATATGTTAGGGTCCCATCAATCCGCCTCAGCGTGCTGCAGTCCTCCGTAGAGATAAAAGCCTCTTTGGTCATAGAATGGAGGTGGGATTTTGTGTGTGCTAAATGTTGCTGGAAAAACTCCTTGAGGGTGCTGCGGCTTTGGCGGCAGGGGTGGACATGTCGGGTGGTCACGGGCCCGACGCGGGGATCCAGGACGGGGTCCCCAATTGGCTGCCCAACAGGCTCATCAGCAGGCTCGGCAGTTCTCGTAACGGGATCTTCAACAATTGGTGTATGAACCAGATTGGCCGCAGGGTTAAGAATATATGTCTTCTCGGCGGTATATTGAGTGGCCTGGGCCTTCTCGGCAGTTTGGGGTTGACATGGGATGTCAATAGTGGTTGACTGAGCAGTGGCCGGTTGACTTGGCACGTCACCGGTTGTATCTTGGGCAACTGGATCACTTTCGGTTATCTTGGTTCGACATGGAGCTTCACCGGAGCCAGGCTGGTTTGATTGAGACTGCTGGGATTGCAACAAAGGCCAGAGGCTGTAGACAGGCCCCGAATGGCAGGAAATCATATCTTCGCCGTGTTCGACGAACTGAATTGGCGTGGACGGTAGGGCTGGGAATGAATGGGGGATGCGAGGGAATATGAAACGTGGTTAATGAGAAAGTAGGACAAGGAGGAGAATGACAAAAGGAAAACAGGAGGAGAAAGAGGAGGAAGGAAGCCGAGCACTTGTTGCAAAATTATCAAGTCTGGGCTTCAAGACCTTTGCGCTACAACGCCTTCGTGGAGCGGGAACTACGCCCCCTTATGGCTCCTCTATCTACTGTGAGAACCATTCCTTTCTGTTTATATATCCTCCTATCTCATCTTTACCACTTGCTACTACGATGCTAAGCCACAATTAGATCGTCTTTTCCAGGTCCAGTTCAATATGCTGACACATGAGTGGTTATAATGGATGACATTTTGAAGGTGTCCCACTAACAATAATAGGGGATAGTTAGGGGTTATAGTCAAAAGGAGCCTAGAAAAGACCTAAAAAAAGACCTCAAAAAAGACACCTAGAAAGACACCTAGAAAGACATCTAGAAAGATGATAACAAATGAGCTTTTATAGTAGCGCTAGACTATCTCCACAGGATGTAGGAATGATTTAGATAATATTAGTGCTGTAGAGTAGGTCATATATCGAGTCCATAAGGTGAATGGTACGACCACGTACCAGACGGGTGAAGCCCATGGACAACATGTAAAGACCATCTGTGATCCTTCAGGGCTATGCAGAGCCTTTATTTTATTGTGAACTACCCTTTCTGTCAAAGTGCTAATTCATGACAACGTTGCCCGACTTTCTGGTCTTTGCTCTTCCCTCCCCTCCACACTCCTTCGTTCTGCTTCGTCCCTGCCGCCACGACAGAAGCACAACCAAGTGGAGCTGAAAAAGACATTTCCTTCTGCTCCGTTTCTTTGAAACATTGAGATGCCGACCATAATCTCATCAATCATGTTAAAAGAACCTCCGACCCTAGATGATCGCATTGGTGATGCCGGGCGTCCCAAAAGATCTCCGCTGAAGTCAAGTTCGGCTCGGACGACACCCGAACGACAATCTGTCACATTTGCCAATATCACAAACACGCAATCATCAAGCTCAGTTCGCTCAAATCAACCCAGCGTCACGTACAAGTCTAGCATCTATCCTGCCGAGCTGGAAATAAGAGGTGTTTCAGAGTCTGAACATCCCTCTCGTGAATTCGACGCGATAGTCAAGATCCTCATAGACAAAATACAGGGGTAACCCCCTTGATGAAGAATCCAGCAAATGTTCACGCAATGTTTGCTGGTACCAGGAAACGAACCAACAATACAGACCGCTAATATCCCCCCATTGGTCAATCTGGGTGGCATCATGTTAAATCCAACCACACACGCGGCAGTTGAAACTCAATTTGCGATCGAGTGCATGCTGCCACTCCACTTCCGAATGGAAATCAAAGCAGTCAAAAAGATTCCACCTGCCTACCTAGACTTCACTGTTCGTCTCCGCGAAGAGACCTTTGATCACTACGAAGAGGCGCTTTATGAACTCGCCCACACCCCTATCCCACTTAGCTGTATTTCAGTCATCATCTTCCCTTGTTTCACCTTCGAGGTGACAGGAGACTCTAAAATTGATACAATGGAGCAAGTATACTCTTCGACCTCCGCCGGTTACATCCGGACTCGGGGTGAGTATACACGGAAGTCTTTCGACAAGGTGGTCCGAGTGCTTTTTTCGACCCTCAGACATCACAATCTCAGCTCACTGGACCGCTTGTTCCCCAGACTCTGACGATATCTTGTTTGATTCACATTTACACAAATCAATTGATATTCAGTGCCTGATACATATAGAATGGAATGAAGCCTTTAGCTACCTTTATAATGTCATACTCGCAAACGCTGCCGTGAGGAATCACAGGGATTATTTCAACTTGAAAGAAAGACGTGGGACTTATGATTGAACTTTGAACTTTCTTTCGTCTTTTTGCATTTGCAATGTTTATGTCCAATCTCTCAATTCCTAGGCTGATGGGGGCTTAATATTCCCTGTATTACACTAGTTGAAGTTGTGTCTTGGTGCTCTCGTACCCATTTTATCTTGTAGCTTGCAGCTGGCTGGATAGTATCAGATATTAAATTTGTAGGAGGTACATGCCACGGCAGTCTATGTCCGCTCGTGCACCTTGGCCAATACTATAATATGTCCTTTCTCTTTGTTGGTACCCATTTGAGTGGTCCTTTTATTCATCCTTCTTGCTTTCTTTTTCGGACTCCTTTTGGGACTCTTTTGAGATGTCATATACGCATACATTAGGTGCATCAATCTTATCTCTACGGACTAGTATCAATTCTCCCACGCCTATTAAATTAAGGGAGGTCATAAAGTGAGCTATTCATCAAAAAAAAACCCCCCTTTTCTGGACCCCCGGAGGTTTGCACACTCCTGGTTCGAACCAGGTAGGTAGGTCACTCACCCAACTGATCTCCCTATCACGACTCGATCAGTCATAGACCCAGCAGCATATTCTAAGGAATTACCTACCGAGCTATAAGCGGGTTTTGTTGAGAAATACCATCTTTCAGTTAAATTTAACAAACGCCTAGTCATAGGTATTTTTTATGTTGTTTTTACAAGATAACTCCAAGAAACTCTATAGTTGAAACGATAAGAAAAGCAGCCGTAAAGCATGGAATAGTGGAAATGGTGGAAATGGGTAAACTGGCCACTCGAGATATATTGTGTCGTGCGAAGCTGTCGAGTGACAGATATATTCCCAGGTAGACGATTCCAGATTTCGACATTAAAAATTCATGATTCCAGTTTTAAAACTTCCACTTCAATTTCCAACTTCTAGAATTGGTGCATTCAAATATATCATATGCCAGATTATAAACCATCCTGCAGGCAAAATTCAACTGAAGCACTGGCCATAGTAGCACGTGCTATACAGCCGCCTCGGGACCCACCTCGCGCAACATCTGGGCTACCCCAAGGCCCCACTATCGCTGGGCTATAGATACTCGCTAAACCTTGTTTCTGACGGGCGGATCATTGAAACGCCCGAGGGGAAGGGCAGAAAGAGGCGGAGACGAGTTCACCGCCCGTGGTGAGGTTAGGTCCCATGGACCCATCCAGTATCTGTAGTCTTTAACAGAATCTACCCCATCCATTGAATTTCTCTACACACCCGTAATCCTGAAGTTCCATCCAATCGATCGGATTGAACTATACCTGTAGCGTATAACAGAGTCCCCGGGAAGACCAGGAGAAGCTGTGGAGAGATTCGACTCGCTGGGGAGCGGGTCAGATTCTCGTCTGACAGTTTCCACCATCTTTCCACCATCTTATCCTCCTGTGGGTAAGTCAACATACTGTCGCATAAATTTGTTAAGTATTATAGAAAGAGAACAAGAAAAAAAGTAGCCCCCCAGGCTTACATACCCCTAGGGTCGAACCAAGTAGCACCCAAACCTACCGCCTCTCCTACCACGACCTCTCCTATACTGACTTAGATGCGAAGTACATTAAATCTGAAGTCAAATGTCAAGTGAAGTAGATATAAAAGTGATTGAGAAGTGAGTATGGTCTGAAGTTTAAGCTAGGTGTCAGGTCACTATGTCAAGTGAATTAGGTATAAAGTGAATGAGATATGAAGGGAAATTATAAAGTGAAATAAAGCCATTCTAATACAAACTCAGAGATTGATTCCCTTCAGATATAACTAACATAAATTCAGCAAGGAGAAGGAAAAAGAAACGGAGCTTCCCGGTATCGGAAGATTGTGTATATTTCGAGCGAAGTTGTCCGCATCCCGCCGGCCTCCAATGGAGACAAACCCAACAAGGTTGTGGCGGAGGTCGGTACAAAACTTGCGATCCTATTTGCATTGTTTGAAAGGTGGCGATAAATCCAGCAAGTCAGACTCGGAGTGCTTTCGCTTTCCTTTCAGAGTCAGGGAAGGCTGCTCGTGCGATGGCAGATCCGATGTCGATTGTCTGGGACCGGGGTTAGGTGCCCCAGTGCCACAATTTGAGTTGCTGGAGTTGGGTGCCAGTACGATAGAGCCAAGATCCGGCTGGCTGGAAGTAGGGGTTTGCGTGTTCGCAGGAGACGCTGGTGTGGTAGGGTCTGTCGTAACATCATGAGGAGCATTTGCCAGGTCGATTGGTGCCTTCACAGCCTCATCAAGCACCTTCGCTGTTTGGCTAAGGGCCTTGGTAGTGTTGGCAACAGCTTTTGCAGTATCGGCCAGGACTCTAGCGGCGTCATTTGGGGCCTTCACGGGTCCACGCGGGATATAGACAGTGTTCCTTGGCTATCTTTTCAGGCGAAGTGTAGGTGGGCAGCTTGCGGAGCGCGCACTGCACTAGACTAGGTCCATTGTTGGCATTTCGTCTGGGTCACAACCTGGCCTTTATGTGAGAGGGCTTTGTATGGCGGATTGTTGTGGTGATGGGACTGGCAGTGGATGGGACGACTGGTTGAAGAAGAGATCTGCAGACAAAGCAAGCAATCGTGGAACAGGGAGAAGGTACAAAGACGTAGAAGAGTAGGAAGGGCGGGAAAAATTGAGAGAGCTGACTACAATAAAGAATAGTAGGCACTCTGGAAAAATCTCTGAATGCGTGAGGAGAGAAAGGAACTATCTACAAGATAGAGACTTGATACCTGGGAGCAAACACCCGAGGTCATGTGAACTCTGACAAAAATGAAAGGGATAAGTAGTCGCCATAATAGCATGAGCTAGAGACCTGCTGCTTGTGATAAGATGAAATATGAAAAGGGCAACCCCCACTAGGTTCACCCACTCCTACGGTAGAACACGAGCCGTAATAGTGATACCGAGGAGCTTCCATTCATTGGCCAAGCAATTACCTACTAGCTTGCTATTATACCAAAGTCTCCACGGCCTGCACTACTACTAGTCAAGAATAGCGAAAAAACCCCATTTATCCCCCAAAGGATTACCAACTGTAATTACAGATCAGATGTAAAATAACATGAAGGATATGAGAGATATAAAGAGGTCTAAAGCTAACTGCAGATCAGATGTAATATAAGAGAAAGAAAAATAGAGATAAAGAAAGAGAAAAAAGAAAACAGCATCCCCCCTGGATTTGCACACCCCTGGGGTCAAACCAGGTGCATATGCAAGTCTAATGCCTCTCCATATCACGACCTAAGGACAACATGAGCCTGATGTTGCAAGGGGACCAAATGCACTATAAGGGGTTTACTGAGAAATATTGGTGTTTGTCTTAATTTTATAGAATCCTGTGGCCCAAATAGGAAGGACCCACACTAGTATTATACCATACAGCTTTTAACTGACCGGAAAAAAGGTATTTCCTGGATATAATGACATTATCAACCTTACAGGTAACGACAAAGGAATAGGTATTCAAATACCCAAATTTAAAACAAGATTATCGTATGTTTGGTCAATAAATTGTCATTCACAGCTAAATCATACAATGTACATACATTCTCCATTCGTATGGTTCTGACTTCCCTCTGGAGGGGACGAAAATCTTCCTGAAGGCACGATCGCAGAGACGGCAAATTCATGGCGATTCCCATGTTCCATTGGGACCGTAACAAGGTGTAGATGTAGACGGTGACTTGTTTCCCTTTCAGTTTCGGCAGAGCGGTATGTTCTAGAAAGAAGCTGACATGCTTGCTTGAGCAGCTGGGGCCAGGGATTCGGTCTCGACCGCCCGACTTTGGAGCTCTTCCGTAGATGTTGACGGTGCGGACATCCCATCGGATCCCGCTCTTGCTAGTGAGATTGACAAACATGACTCGGTAGAAATGCAGTCTCTGGGCGAGGGTTTCGTCTGCGAAGCTGAAAGGGTCCCCAGTGAACACCCCGACCGGCAATCCGAGCCCTCCCATGCCAGGACCGGCAAGCCTGTGTTCCGTCAGAGCGTTGGGCAACTCGAAGTATGATAGATGGGCGGCAGGATTGTTCACATCTGGCGGGGCCGTCTCCGCGACGGGTAACGTCAAGGTCTCCTCTTCATCATCGGACGAGGAAGGTTTCTGCCCTTTCTTTTTTCTTTTTTCTCGGGGATTGGCTCGACTGGGCTTGTCCGGGCTCCATGATTGATCGTCAGGCCACTATAGTACCTTGGTTGAAGCATACTATTACAAAGTTTACCGTTCCAAAATTGTCTCTGGCTTAGACATGGGAGACCTATCACATAACCACACTGCGGTACAAACTACTCTGCTTTTCGCTACCGAGCTCCACTCGGTAAGCTACTCTGGCAAATGGGTCGTGGTCGGAGGAGGCAAGGCGGCTGCAGGAATAGGAGGGTTTGGGAGGCGAGAGTGGCCTGGCCGAATAGGCAGGGAAAGATGGCTAGGAATGTCAAGTGGGGATGAAGGGAAGGCATTTATCTCGTATCCAACAAAGGACACAGATGACCTCAAGATAGGTTTGTTCTTCTTGTGGCGGACCCTTGTGGACGTGATGGCACTGGGCGGAGCTAGCTGGGATTGAGCGGCCCTGGGCATGTCGTGTGCGGCCTCGTTTCCTGGAACATCCTTATGGCCGGGACTCCAATGCAGTTCCAGTTGGATATATCTTAGAGCTATAAGCTCTGAAATGCCGCAAATGGTTTTTACATGCCGGGCATGTGCGTCACCCGCATGGAGGGATTCGCCTTTCCAGACATGAAATTTGCGGTCTCGTATCCCAGACTTCACAATTCCCCAGGCTGAAACTCAGCTCTGGTTGAGGTTATGTTGAGGCAATGCGGCGGAAAGGTCGCAAAACATGTACGGTGAAGTGCATCTCGCCCCTATACCGAGGTGGTGAAGTGTCATCGGGTGGTCGATGATCGGTTTTATCTGGCCCACGAAATCTCGATTTGGGTAACGTTCGGAGACCTTTGCTGTCCATGATGGCATGGTGGAGACAATGGTAATTGTCCCAGGTTTCAAGTGGCCTGACACAGAGGCAATTGCGACGAGCTCTAGGGTAGCACAGTAGCAGTGCCGTCAATGGCTCTGATTTGAATACATTTTCTGGCACAGGGAGGCTTACATTTCTTCTCGAAACTCCAAGGATTCACCCCACCTTCAGTAGTGAATTTCCAGGGAAGCTGAAACCGTATGTCCCTACAACACCTCCTATCTATCTTCGCTGGTGCTATCTTCTCTTGTGGGTAGAACATGACCGACGGATGATACGGAGATGCTGATCGCTTTTTTGTATGGTAAAGCTCCTAGTAGACTGGACAAGCTGATGTTAGTATGGGACCTGAGTAGGAGTAGGAAGGCGTGAATGTACGATTTTGGCCAGCAATATCAGTGCAAGTGACGGTATTGGTCATTCGACAGCTCGGGTTGTGTTGTAAGGGCTGCGTGATCGCTTCTTTTTGGTATCTGAAACTCATTTTGATAGAGGCCTGAGCCCCAGGACAGAGGAGAGAAATGTGGAGGAAAAGAAGAAAGTTGAAACAATGAAAGTTGCCTGGGATACGGTCGAGGGACCAGCTGACCACATAGCTAACAATGGTAATGCAAGTTTAAAATAGAGTAGGCACGAAGTCAACAGTATACCACGGCAAATGATATACACAATTACGTCACCAGAATTATCCAGATTTACTCTTAATTCCCGTTTATATCGAATTTAGCTCATTTTGGATTTTCTCACTTCCACCCGTGTTCGTAATTTCTGTAACATGGCCTGATTTGTCTCCCTCCAACGGCTTTCTATTTATCAACAGAGGAATATATACCTACCTGTAGGTATGTCCAGGTTGTGTGGATGCATGTGTGTAAATACGTAGCAGTGGAAATAAGGCCCTGGGCTAGTCCGCAGGTGGGTTAGTGCAGATACCACGTGACCGTTTGACCCACCGCCCAATATCTAAAGTCTAAACAAACAAACTTTCATGAAATGGCCCCACAACACCCATTCGCGCCGACGGCCGATATTGCGTCGAAGCGCTTTATACCGTAGCCCGGAGTCTATAATTACATGAAATAGCTTTAAAGTAAATACAAAGTGGGAACCCAAAAAAAAAAAAAAAAAAAAAAAGCCCCGAAACCCCCCTTAGGTTTATCCACGCCTGGGGTCGAACCAGGTTATGTCAAACCCAGCGACCTCCCTATCACGACTCGGTCAGCAACCGCATCAGGGTCCAAGCCGTTACGGTGGTAACACACTGAGCTATGAGGGGGTTTCGGTGAAAAACCTTGTCTTTTGGTTAAACTTAACAAACAAACGCCCAATATCAGAAGGCTCCCTGGACGGTCCATACACATTATTTATATCATTTTTACTCCTCTTTTATGATTTTATCTCCGTCAATTACATCGAGAGAGGGAAGACTGTCAAAGGTCACATAACCTCGGCTGTTTCCTCCCAACATATCTAGTCCTCCAGAGTAGATAATCCCTTTCTCTCCTCTCGCATCTTACAGATTTTCCAGATAGCCTTTCTTTTCTCAGTAGATCCCTAGAAGTCTGTCTCCCAAAAGCATCAAGATGATTGCAGGAAGCAAAAAAAAAAACCCCACTTGGTTTATATAAAATCTTGGGGTCAGACTAGGTAGGCCGCCCCCTGCTGCTCCCTATCACGACTTAGTCACTCACAGACTGTCGGGCACTCTAAAGCATTAAGAAAATACTGCTGTGCTTCATTGAAGCTTAAAGAACACCTGGCCAAGGTCAGCGGACCCCTGGAAGATCCCCACATATAACATTTTGCCCCCCACCTACGTACTTCTAAAGCTACGTGCACAAGTACGCTCTGGACTACCCTTCATCTTGCTCTCTCATACAATCCCCAAATGACTCCATATTCTACGCTATTACAACCATGAAATGCGCGAGACAATCGCCGAGGAAAGACATGATGGACAGCTCCGACTGAATTTCCTGAGGCCCAGACCGTCCATGTCAAATAAATTTCCGCGTCTTTGCATGACTGAATGTAAGAATTGCCATTTTTCATTTCCGTTCTCCAGACGAAATTGCATGCCAGACCTTGCACAGTCAGGCTTAAACTAGTGTTCCAACCTGCGAACCAGAACCTGGTCAAAAGTGCAAACAATGGTGCATTTATTCGTTGTCAATCATCGCTTTAGATGAGCCTTTTGCTTGCCATAACATCTTGCTAATCAGGGGGGTTAGGTCGGACGTTTCTCTCGGGTCCCACCATTTCGAACCGTCAATCAGCTGTGAACTCACTCATTCATTTCGACGTCTCTCCTAGTAACCAACAAGCGTAGTTAGTGGCATTGGTAGTCTGTTCCACCACCGTTGCGGGCTCTACCTTGAGAATACCCACACCGCGGGTCTTGCTGTCATCGGTAGACAGCATTGCTGGCTTAGTAGGTGCACATTCGTGGACAGGGGTATTTGAGGGGTCGATCGAGCTCGGGATTATGCGATTGGCAACACACAAGCCTTGTCGCCCTTGTTTCAGATGGTAGTTCCTGTGCTAAAGGATTGGATTATGTTGAGGCGACTGTGCTTGGGAATGAAGTCTTCGAGTGTTTACTTTCCGTAATCGTTGCCGGTAACACACAGCGACGAGCCACGAATGTGTAGCTGATTGAGTAGCAGGGGGCCGCAATAAATTTGGAAACTCTCGAGGGATTTCTGCTGCTGCGTTGTTATCGAATTCTGGGGATAGCGGTGCGGCAGATTGAGCAAAATCCTGCTCTGTAACTCGGGTTTCAAAATGAGGGTCAAAGAGCCCTTGATGAGACGTGAAGATGATGATAGTCCGATATGCCTATCGCGGAAAGATATATCAGATTCTGAGTATCTGGCGATGGGTGTAGAAGGTCCCTGTCAGTGTCCTGGGATTGAACTAGGAGATGCAAAAAAGATCCATTTGGATTAAGAAGAAGTAAGGACAAAAAAGAAAAAAAAACACCAACCCCCGAGGTTAAGCGCAAGCCTGGGGTAACCAGGCTCTTCACCACCCAACTAACCTCCCTATCACGACCTAGCCAGCCACTTCAGCAAGCAGCTTATTCTAGAGAATCAACGACTACGCCGCAAGGGGTTTTCATTACAAAGAGCTGTGCTTACTTCAGACGACCACTTGTTCCATTTTAGGACGGTACGATCAGCCTCTTGCTACAAGACGTGTACCTATCAGCTGTGGTCTATCTTTAACCTTAAGGGAATATTGACTTATATCTCTCCTCAGTTGCAGATGTGAATTGCGGCCATACGGTCACCATTTACCAGCTTTACCATCTGGTGCTCTTTATTTTGTTACCACCATGCCCTACCAACAGGGCCATATCAGGCCCATTACGGACCTAAACGGCTATGGTGGTTGAAAAAAGGTTATCGGCCCCCCTAAAGCTTACTCAAGATCCTCACCACCACATCTTGCTAATCCATGGAATAGGAATATCAGCCCCACATCACTGTGGACCTTCGCTCAACGACACTCGGTCGACTTTACCCTCCCTAACAGACATTCCACACGCAAGGGACAAACATCCGAACTCACGGACAACCCCGTCGACAGCCTCGTCCCACAAAAGGACAAGGCCAAGGCCATTGTTGGGATGCATTGCAAAAGGATCATTCCAAGAGCTTCTGGACACTGAGGCAGCCAACAAGGTGGTCAACAGGATGCAACAGGGGTCTTCTCGAAATCTGGCAGGTTGTGGGGGGACATTTTGTTGGGAATATAAAGGCATGAGTTATGCCAAATGCTACAATTGACTTGGGGATCTACAGGACACCACCCCCGATATCAGTGCTCTGCGGAATGCTCGCGCTTAGATATCCACACCACTTCGTGTGTGGGGACATTGTTCTGTCCAGGATCTGGGAAATCACTTGCGTCGCTACGACTCATTCATCGAGAAGTGGATAGCCTATGATACCACATGGTTGGTTTCTGAGGTCACAGCAAGACTTGAAAAAGTGAAGCAGACATGTATCCATCCCATCTTTATGATCCATGGAAGGGGACTATCATCTCAACATCAGCGTGGGCCTTCGCTCGACAATACTCAGTCGACTATGCCCTCCACAACGGACATTCTGCGCGCAAGTTACAAGCAACCAGACCATTGGACAGCCCCGTCTCACAACGGCTCATGGCTCGGGCCTCTGGCGACCTGGATTTCAGAAACAATCCTTCGGGGTACCGGAAACAGTGGCCAACGAGATAGCTAACAGCACACAACTGGAGGCTTCCCGTAGCATAGAGGGACCTTACGCGTCAATGTCTCACAATGAGCCATATATTTTGATGCCTCCCATTATCTGGAACTATGCTTTTGACAGCTTTACTTCTTCTTCTGATCAAGTCCCTTGCAAGCCCAGGGCGGATATTTAATGGGACCAAGCAGACAAAAGGCTATACGGACACAATATGTCAGCTCCAGTCTGTGATATTCTACACACTGGCGATGATTACGGCTTCGGGGCCGGCTCCTACAATCGGTCGAGCATTGGGTGGAGCGGCACCCGATTCCCGGGGGCTTGAAATGACTCTTGCCGACTTCAAGTGCATCTGCAGTGGCTAAGAAAAATCCCGTGATGTCGTTGCGATGGATTAGCAAGGATCTTTGAAGTTTGTCGTGGAGTTGAAGGTCACATGGATAGACGACTATCAATGCCATCGGAAGGTCCGGGATGATGATAACTCGACGAACTTACTGATCCAACCTTTGATGTACTTGCGTGACCTGAACTGCAAATATGGCCTTATGGACAATTAAAAGGATACTATATTCCTCCGCCAGCTGGTTGTCGATGGATTTGGATGGTCGAATATTCACCCATCCTCGAGGCCAAGTCAGCTTTCGACCGAGGCGCCAGTTTTAGTGTCAGACAATGCTTTTTTTCATGTTGCATGTCTGGCGTCTGAGTCATGACCACGCGAAGCTATCAGTACTAGGCCCAATTTGAAATTAAATGTCCCTGTGTATATATAGAAAGGTCTCTGCAGAGTCTATAAGTTCTCGCGCTTTTCTACGCCTTGTACTTATAAAACTGAGTAGGAAAGAAGTATCTAAAAAGATGATAGATTAAAAGAATATTCGAGCCTACCACTAAGACTACTAGAAAGACATCACAAGGCTGCATATGTAAGCAGCCGACTGTTCTTGTATCTCGTCCCTAGTGAACTTTATCGATATGTTCGATTTTTATTACTAATATATATGTCAATGAGTTAACCATGGCTCAGTTATTACACCTGATTTATGGAATGGGATTGAGACCTTCATTCTCTACCAGCTCCAGCCAGTACGGTCCACATCCCAATTTTGGGTTTCGGGGACGTCCATTAGGCCAAACATAACGTGACCCTGAATGCCCCATGGCAATGAATTGTCTTCTTTGTGACCCCTCGAAAGCTTGCAAGGTGCTTAAGTAAAATGAGATCAACGTTGTATGTATAGAAGACATAATTTGGAAAGCTGGAAGGGGGTAAATACATGGTATCAGTTTCCAGAACTCATCACTGGTCCATAGGTTCATCTTTATACCACTCACAAGTCCATCCATCTCAACAAGCATTCCCGCTTTATGTATATTGTCGGTACTGGCTGTTTTCTCAAACGTCCGCCATCTGACATTCAGTGATAAGCTGCTCCAGTTGCCTGTTTCCAGCAGATGGTGCAAGCCACTTTTCATCATCCCCTCCCCATATAGGTTCATCAGCTAGCCGAGGCAAACGAAAAAAACATATATTTAGAGAACCTGGTGATATCCAGTCAGCATGGGCGTCGTAACAGCCATGGTGGAATTCCAGTGTCAGATTAAGGGCGACTTGTCTAGGGCTTCTTGCAATCCCTGCACGAATATATAGGAATACCGCATGCTTCTTGGAAGGCTGGGGTCTTACAGGCGTCAGCAAAGTGCCCTGGAGGGCACGCCGTCACTAGTCGAACCGGTTGACCCTAGGTATTTGTAGTCGTGCCCCTTCCGGCGGTCTGGCAAATCGCGGGCAATCCCTCACAGATTGGCTAAGAGGCGGTATGCGAGGCGTTTCAAATTGGTTTGGAAGAGGCGTAGTGGGATCAGGAGTCACATCATTGACCACTATAACGTCCCCGGGATGGGTGCAATTTGTGTTGACTGTGGAGTTGAGACTGCAACTGTGCCGCAATCTACGGTAGAATCTTTTGTGTACAGCTCGATTCCATGTACCATTGGATAGCGTGGTTCTGAGAAAGGAGCCACGCTTTGCAGCTCGTGTGCCCTATGCGGTGGATGCGAATGACTGTCTGCATCATGCCACTGGGGTCATGGTGGAGCTCCATCAGAACGATGCGGCTGCAGTGGGCACCTGTTTCTGGACCTAGGGCGCTCTATAATAGGAAATACGAGTGGTTAGCGTAACGCCGTCTTTCAATGTAGAATAGATTTACGATGTACAGACTCACAAGTCCCGATTTTATCGTAGTATAGCGGATAGTATGAAGCAAAGCGTAAAGGATATCGCGGAGGATATTATAGAGAAAGTATAGAGCTTGGCTTAGATAGTACGGTGGTAGGAAGCGCGAAGAGCGACTTCAGGTGGCTCGGAAGTTGTACACGGCACTGCGCCAAGCGGCCATCGACTCCTCGTTGTCCATGCTCGAGGGCATTTCGAGGCCTCAACGGCAAGCTCGTCCCAACCACGACGAGAGTTAGATCGAACCTCAGGAACAATCTGAGCAGCGCGAGGCAGCACCCAATTATCGTATATAGTAGTAACGTCCTTAGAGGCGAGTACAATATTAGTAAACTGACCGCGAGTCGATACCGAGTCGAGGGATACTCACTTAGGAAACACGAGTTCCAGCCAGATAATGAAGATGACGGTGGTTACAAACCAGGTTGTCAAAGCTGCCAACAAGTTCATGAACCGCGGCCGCGACGGCAAAGACAAGGTCCTCAGGTAGGAGCAGGGTCACAAGCTCTCCCTCATCGTTTTCTTGGCCAAGGGACACGCCACTCCATCCTCAGAGTTAGACCAAAACTCGGCAGCCTAGCGTAATAGAGACAACTCATAATGGTTTCCAGCAAGACCCGCGGGGACCTAGGACCACACGAAGTCAGAACGATTCTGTACCAAGAGTATCTCGAGTCCATGGCAATCACGTACCTGTTCATACACCTTATGGTGGCGTGCGCAGTGAGAGCAACTCTTCGATGTTGCAGTGTCGAAAACACACCAGATCTCGGGCGGGACACGAAATCTACTAAGCTGAGACTTCCAGTCACGGTTGGCCAAAGAATAGCTAGTAAAGAGGTGCGCGGTATATAGAGGTTCACTTACTCTCCGCAAGCCTAGCCCGGATAAGTCAAGGTAAGAAGGAATGGTCGTATTCATCTTTACCCAACTCGAATTGAGCATTGGAGTGGCTGTTGCGACACCATTTCAAACATATCACAATCGTGACTGAGGTATTCTTTACGCGATGGTCAACCACGTTCCCGCTTCATCACTCCGTATTTCTTGGCCGGAGCTCAACGAGAACGTCCTTGGATCCCGCGAACAGGATTTCCCTGGACCTGCCGCTGTAGGTCTTTCAGATCCTCAAACTTGCGCCGGCACTGATAGCTAGCCCGAGCTTTTCCGCATGAATGGTCTGCCACGACTCATCTAGATAGGGACGTTCGTTCTTGGTTTCCAACTTGAAGCCACCAAATGCCAATCATGTGAGTCTCGTAGGAGGTGATGATTCACCACGCTGAGCCTTGTGAAATCTGTGTCATGTAAAGCAGCAAGGCCCTTTTGGAATCGAAGATTATACATCTTATGATCTGCTAATCGGCATTCGCTGCTCCTCATGATCCTCGGATTCCACAGGAATGCGAGAAGTGAGGCTAAAGCGTTAGAATGAGGCGCAATAAGATACTTTGGATAAGCTTACCTCTGCGTTGTGGCAGACCTAAAGGGATCAAATGTTTCTGGATTGAGCCACCAGTCCATAGATACTTCATTCGTCCTTGTTGAGGTTGGAATGATATCTCTAGGCATGTTCCTCTAGCCGGTTAGCTTCCTGGTCGATCATGAGAATTATATGATGGGGTATTTACCTATACACGCAAGCGTTTGAAGTACGCTGGCTAGGCTTTGATGTGCCGAGATAGCGAATGGATGTCGCAGTGAGTTTGAACGAGCTCCTACGAGAAAGGCAATGGGGAGGAGATCTCCCAGATCATAGAAGGACATCCCCATAGTTGCTCAACAAGGAGTTTCGGAGGCTTGCCGGGATGATGGTCGTGTTGAGGGTGCAGCGAATACTTGCATCACTCGATGAGCTATGGCAGAGGGCGCAATGAGGAATAGTGAAAGGCCTAACCGTTACCAGAAAAGTGAACTGGAATGGAATCAGGTCCAAGGTCAGATATAGATGTTGAGAAGGCTGAAATCCAATGGATGGAGAAACCTGGAAAGGGCAACATCAAGGGTAAAATAGGGGACGAACCTAGAGAGCTGGCAATATCAGATTTGGAAGATGTGTTCTTCACAATGGAGAGAGAGAATGGAAGATCAAGAAGCAGGAGTAGCAGGTAGGAGGAGAGGTAATAAAGGAAGTTAGGGAGGAGGGAAAGTGCGAGGGAATCTATACGTAAAATTATATACAACACACATCAGTAACGAAAACTCTAGAAGATTATATATCGCTACAGAATCTTGAGCTATGTATGTGCCTACCTAACTGAATGAATCAACCTACCAAAGTGCGCTGTGCATATGGATGTAATGGAAGGATATAGGCCGTCTAAGCAGAGAAAGCAAACAATCTACCATAAATCATACCAGCAACATGAGAAGGAGCTTGTTGGAGATGTGCCATATTTATTTAATTGTACCAGACAACGGCAATGACAAAGATAGTCCCCATGACTCGGCGCCATCTAAGTCCACTAGTTGAAGACCAAGTTTCCATTATCATTTCCAATACGCTCGGACAGGTTGATATCCGCATGGTGTTCCTCTCCATCGACGTCGCGCAAGATAGCCCGGAGAACAGGGATGCCGTCATCTCCTTCGCGATCGAAGCTGATATCCTCCGCACTGGACTGGAAGTCACCGCCATCCCAGTGGAATTGTCCTAACGAAACGAGTCAGAAAGTCCATTGCGATAACTTCAACCACCGGATGCCCCGCAGGGCCCGAGAGAGGCTGAAAACATACCATTGTCGTTCCCGATGTGATCATTGAGATCAATGGTGGACTCCTCCTCATCACCATCCTCATTGCGAAGAACAGCCTTGAGGATGTGACCATCCTCAAGCTCGATGTGTGAAGCCGATGCGTGGAAGCTCATATTTTCGATTTGGGAGAGAAGAATGCAAAGTAGAGTATGTAGACCAAGTATCATAAACTTCCTGGATAGCAAAAGCAGAGGGGAAACGGGACTCTTCTTATATACCCCATCTGGCGAGGGTAATACGCCCCGAATCGCGATCTGGGCTAGGACAAGGGATCGTGCAGCAGGCCCCGGTTCTTGTCCGACACTTGTCCCCGACTAATTCGTCGCACTGCATCTCAATTGTGCCATGGCAGCTAGCAGAGGTGGGGTACTCGCTGGAAGGACCGGCATTAGCAAAGCGGGGATACTGTACACCGAGTAAACGGGGATGTCTTGCAAGACAAAGAAAGCTAGAGTCGGTCTGTACGGTGTACAGCTGTGGAGAGGAACGGTATGGGAGTATCCACTAGACTGGTACACGTCAGTCGGTGGAGCAGACCAATGTGCAGAGTAAACATCCTAGACTGTCATCTTGGCTGGATACTGGGCAACAAAAAGAGTACAGATCACATCATCTCGAGGTCCAGTTATCGTGGCGCATGGAGACACACTTCCCACAGTCCCCAGCCACAGGATTCACGGCAACATCTCGTGATGTTGCACTGTGCATGCCAAGGATGCATGATTCCGTGACAGCCCTAGGATACAGCCACAGGACGTGGGCCACACATGGCCAATAGGTATCGAACCGACTGAGGAGAAATGCTGTTGCCTAATGAAGACAATGCAGTGGACTGGGGCGGTGCCAAGTCAATTCGATGCAGCCTCATGTTTTCAATTCTTGGCAAGTCGATATTGAGAGGGATTTACTGACACCCAGTGGCGTTGAGGGGAAAGTGTGGCTGGATAAGGCTAGCCTTGTGACGAGGGGTCCAAGGTGGATCAGACAGATGTTTCAACTTGTCTCTGATTCTTGGGGCATTCGAGGGTTGAATTACGAATATTCTATATGTTTACTCCGTGCAGTTGAATCAACCAGGTTAAGAACCTTTTTATTGTTCGATAAAAGGCAGAGACAACAAAGTCGAGAGCGAAAAAGTATCAAGCATCATAAACCTGACAAGGTTGACACACAACAGAAAGAGAATAATTAAAGGAACCTTCAAGTAAAAAACAAACATCCTCAGAAAAGTCTTCGGACAACCGAGAGCTATCTCTGTAATAAAGGTTTCAAAAATTAGGTCGAAGGAGATGAGAGCAGAGCCCCTTCTAAGGTTGGTACAGCTCCTGGTTGACGTTGGGAGTACCCTGACACGTACAGTCTGTTTCCGCAGAGGTCATAGCAAAAGCGCCTCAGGTACCCGAAGATCGCCAGTCGGTAGCCCGCATATACTTGCTTCGTGCCATTCGCAGCCTAGCCCGGGCCGCGGCCAAAGATCCCCCAGAGTCCTCAGGATAACACCGATCACTGGACAACAGCAGACATATGTTGAATATGCCCCTGAAGCTGACCGACCGGTCAAAAAAATAAAAATAGTACTCAATAGGAACCACGATGTGCAATGTGGACCTGGGGTGTTGGGGAAGGAAGAAGAGAGAAAGTGGGAGGGGCCAGGTATTTATATCCCAGGACCTTAAGGCGATGGGAGAATTAGGGTAGGCGACGATGTTCCCAAATAGAAAGCTGCGACACATGAGAAGTTACTACAGCCAACAATGAAGTCTCCGAAAATGGAGAGAGAAAAAATGTATGTATTGTTCGTACGAATAACCTCAAAACCCAGTATGAAAAACACCTAACACCGATTGCAAACTCCCATGCCTTACAAGATCGACAGATGCATAGAATCCATCCCATAGCACACATAACAGGTGTATCAACAGAAACACATTAGAATCATAACAAGTCACAGATTAAACTCCATTACGGTAGATTTGAGATCCACCAGAACGGATCTGGATGGTGTCACGTCGCTGCAAGACGACCAGGGCACGATTAAGCGCTTGCTCGGTATAGTTCTTGCCATCAACAAAGTCACGGCGCAGGGTTGCCAAACTTGTGCTCCAACCAATGGGGAGACGACGCTTCAGTTCGTCTTCAATCTTGCTGCTTTGCTCCATAAGTTCCTTGCTGCCTTGGCCCTCACCCTGGGTAATGGCGTCCATGGTGGATGCCAGGAACAGACGGATGGCCTCGTCCACGTGGGCTTCTGTTGCGATGGGGGAGAGAGAAAGCTTGGCAAGGGATTCGGAGATACGGACGATAGCCTCGAGCTGACGGACGGTGATGGGGATGGATGATCGGGTGTTGGATTCCATCTCGGCACGGTGGACTTGCTTTCGGATGGAGACGAAGTGGGACGAGAGTTTTTCCGCGGCTTCAGGTGAGAGACGGGGCGCACAACGACTAGATGAGTTGTTAGTATGAATATAGCGGTTCAATCAGTAATGGGTGTCAACATACCTGCGGCAGTAGCTGATGTAGCGCTTCATCTGCTCAACGGGAACCTCGGCTTCAACTTGCTCCTCCACACCGCGACCACCCATGTGCACACCCATGACGTGACGGGCAATCTTCTCGTCACGGCCGCGCTCGTGTTCATCGCGGACGATGAAGATCATATCGAAACGGGACAAAATAGTGGTTTGGAAATCGATGTTCTCGCCGGGGGTCTTGAGGTCATCGTATCGACCGAAGATAGGGTTGGCTGCGGCCAAGACGGACGTTCTCGAGTTAAGAATTGTGGTAATGCCGGCCTTGGCGATAGAGATGGTCTGCTGTTCCATAGCTTCGTGAATGGCGACTCGGTCCTCGTCACGCATCTTATCAAACTCATCAATACACACAACACCACCATCAGCAAGCACCATAGCACCACCCTCGAGATAGAACTCGCGAGTGTTGTGGTCTCGCTGCACGGAGGCTGTCAAACCGGCGGCAGAGGAACCCTTTCCAGATGTGTAAATGGCGATGGGAGCAGCCTTTTCGACGAACTTCAAAAGCTGAGACTTGGCAGTACCGGGATCACCCAGCATAAGCACGTTAATATCACCACGAAGC